TTTTTTTGTAAGCTTTTAGTTATTATTGGGTTTATTTTGTTTTGTTTACCGAACGGTTCCACATCGGCTAATTTAGAGAAACATGGGTATCAGTGTTGGCACTTATTTTTGACAAATGGCTCAGGCCAGTTTTCCAGCGATATTTCCAGTGAGCACAGTTACCAAAATGACCGGACTATGGATTATTTGGATTCCTTGTAACAAGTACTATAAGATACTGTATTCACTTGTCAAAAACTAAGTTGATTTGAATGAGAAATCTATGGTCAAAGTGGACATGTAATCAAGAAAAAAGTCAACAAATGTCAAGATGAGCATTTGTCCCACATCGAAAGTTGTAAGAACTTTCCACTAGTATATATAGTGACACACTCTCAACAAGGTTCACTAGCCTTTAGAAGAGGACACTATGGCGAAGGAGAGAAATGGCTGCTATGCAAAACCACACACGTGCGCCGTGCCGTGCCGAGCTTGGGTCTTGGTGAATGTGGGCTAAAATAAGATGTTCTTTTTTAGTAAATATTTATTAACTTATTTTCACAAATATGTTAATATTCCTAAAAGATAATTTGCATAACTCGATAAATCTTAATGATTGGTCGAAAATTAATAACATAATATTTTCTTAATATTCCTTTTTCGCCCAGATCTTTATCGGAAAGGACTAAAAGATTTCTACAATATTTCTGTCTCTTATTTTTTGCGATCAAGGAATAGAAGATTTTTGGAATATTTCCATTTATCTTAGAGTGGCGGTCAAAGCAAACCCTTGCGCCCCAATCCTTCCATCCGCTATATATACTCGCCTCTCTCATTCATTATTCTTCATCAGCAAAACATATAGCTTTTGAAAACACAAATATCCAGCAAATCCGTCTCGTCTCTACAGTTTTAGTTAAGTCTTGAGAGTATAGCGTAGATTCTTAAGTTCGCAGATTCTATAGTCGAGTGCTGCGACGTTAGTCTCAATACGGTTGTATCCTGGGATTTTGAATCTCTTCAAACCACCACACTGTGGGAGATTTACATAATTAAGGAAAGATATCATATCTCGACTCCGTGTATCGTTTTTCTTTAAAAGTTTATTAAAATGTTTTATACTTTAATTATCGTTTATTATTGATTTAAATAATTTTAAGATTCATGATTTTTAATCTGGATTTTTGTGGTCCTACAATTAGAACTTTGTCAAATGGACTGATATGACTATATGTACAATTGTAGAATTTTTAACATTATTTAAGATACTTTATTGTCTAATAAAAAAACCTTTGTTCCATCATAGTTCTGTTGTGAATACAACTGAAAAAAATAACTTCAAATGGCATGGAAACGATATGGTAAAGTTCTTATATGGTTTATACAAATCTGTGTTTAACCATGTTAGGAGACGTAACTTGATTAAAATCTTTGATGTATTTTTGGTTTAGTTTGACTACTATTTTAATTGACTATGGTAACTCTTCGAGGATTTGTTTTAATTATCACTAGTGTTTTGCCCATGCTACGCTTAGATCGTATAATTATATTAAAGTTTTATAGAAGGTTGTCAATTAATTTTGTGTTTAATATTGTGATAAATTATAGAATAGTATATTTGCATGTGATTCTTAGATATAGTAGAGTGAAGTAAATATAAGAGGAATATATATATAAAGATGAATGAAATTTTTGTATAATAATTTGAAGGTAGTCTAATGTGTCTTATGGGTTAGTTGAACTTATTTTAAGAGTTGGTGCATGTTTTTACAAATATGAAGGGTAAAATTTAACCACTTTGTATAATAATTTGATTTGATATATTTTTTATTTATGTGAATAGTATCTACATATATAAACTATATATTATATTAGAAACATATTCTCTAAATTTGGACATCTTACGTTATAATGTCATTTCTTTAGTGAACACCATGAGTATTATTTTACACTTTCATAAACTTTTTGCATAATCTTCTCTTTTGCTTGATGCTTTTAAAAAAAAAAACTGAATTCTTACTCCATTTTTGTTTCATATTATACGTTAGGATTTTTTTTTAATTTTCATATAATATGCATTTCTCTACTTATCAATTTTTAAAGATTTAGTGTGTACATAGATGTTTTATAATTAGAAGAAACCAAATGGTAATTAATAATAAACTTCTTTTTTTTATGAGTTCTTTATTAATTGATAAACTATTTGTTTGATAGTTTAGCTAGCTCGATCATTTGCCAATATTGGTGAATAGTGTCGAACTTTATAGTTATATGTTATTTGAATAAAAGACTTTTCAGTTTTATATTTCATGAACTTTTACAAATGAGATTAAGAAACAGTGAGTAATTGTCTTCAATCATATATTGTATCTTAGGATTTGTTTCATAAACTTCTTTACTATATGACTAACTGTTATAGTTATATATTGTACCTTAAGATTTTATTTTTAATTTCCATATATTATGAATTTCTCTACTTATCAATTTTTAAAGATTTAGTGTGTACATAGATGTTTTATAATTAGTTCATATACTCAACGAAGAAAACAAATGGCAATTAATAATAAACTTCTTTATTATATGGGTTCTTTATTAATTGATATAATATTTGTTTGATAGTTTAGCTAGCTCGATTATTTACCAATATTGGTGAAGAGTCTGGAAATTTATAGTCATATATTATTATTTTTTAAAAAGTTTTCAGTTTTAGGCTTCATAAACTTTTGCAAATGAGAATTAAGAAACGGTGAGTAACTGTCTTCAATTACCGGTTGTTTAGTTAGGCTTTTACGTCGGTTTCGCCACAATGTCTGATTACAACAAACAATATGAAATTTTATATCAGTTTTAGAAACTTGAGATCTGTTATAAGATCAAATAGGTGCACTTGTTTAAATTACTTTTCTCTAGAAGAAAGATAACCGAGTCACTCCTCAAATTTTACTTTAGGCGAGAAAGACGTTCTCCAGCTCCAGCATTACTATGACTGATTGCTCGACTCACATTATAAATATAAATGCAAAACAGTTGTGAGATTGTATTTATATGTTGCTTAGAGTTGTGTATTATTTATACCCTATATGGTTCATTGCTGTGTCTTTTTTTTTGTTTTTTTTTTTACATCCTCATTGCTATGTTTTTTGGATTTCACTTATTTGTGGTCCACTTATTTAAGCTTTATTGTTTATTGCCAGTTTGGTTGTCATTAATTAAAGAGTAAAGTTTGTGTTTAGTAACGGCTGATTCTGTTTTTGGTGAGTTAGAGGCGAGGAGATTGGAAATCGAGAAGACGATAACTCCATAAAATGAGCTTTTGTTTGAGCTTTATAATTGAGTTTCAGTGTAATTCATTTATAGTTTTTTTTTGCTTTATTTTTTTAAGAATTTAGTAATTATGGAAGTTTTTTGTGGTCAGAATTTGAAAAAGTTTTCATTAATAAATTACTTAATAAAATGACTTTAAGTTATTAGTTGAAAAAGATGACATAGCAGTTTTGGAGTCTACCATTAGCTGGTTATTTCTGATTATTTTTGCTGATATGGCAGCCCTTAGAGACCTTGAAATCTTTCCATTTTATATAAAAGAGATTTAGACGGATATATGTGTTTGTGTATTTTGGAGAATTTAATTTTATAGTCAAATTGATTTTAACGAATACACATTTGTCTATATCCAGTTTTTTTATCAATCAACAATTTTACATTTGTGATATATCTAAATACTGAAAGGTTTAAGATAGATATCATAAAAAAATTCCCAAAAAATGTGTGGAATTGAAGGCAGTCATCTTCTTCGGCAAAATTGAAAAACAAAATGGAATAATTCGAACCATGTGCACGTCTATATCCACACTTTTTATAATCTTGGAATGTCCACATTCTTGATATAGTTTAGGAATTAGGTGCATTACATACATAGGTTGGTTTAAACTATATGTTACATTAATTAGATTTTATATATTTAGTAAAAATTTCTTATGTAATTATGTGTAATATATATACATTACATGGTGGTGTCTTAAAAGATATAATTTCTATAAACAAAAATGTTAAATTAACTATTACGATGATTTGTGTATATTTCACCTAAATACTAGGTAATCTTCATTTATCTTAATATATTGTGTGGTTGGATGTACGTGCCATCTAGGGTTGGTGATGCATATATAATTTTTGCGGATTTTGCTGAACATAGTTAAATGGCTCATGACGTTTAATGATATATGTTAACGGAACAATTCGGAAAAAATTGTTCTGATTTTAAAGAAACATGTTATAAAACAAATTTATTAGAAGGCGATACATAATATAATGAAACTATTAAAAAATATATTGATTGTTTGTAGTAGTTGTTTTAAAATAGTATAGTGTTACCCAAAAAAATATGGGATGCAACTTATGAATTCTTATTTGCAAGTTTGCTATACCACAAAAAAAAACAAAAATGATCCAAGTACTCCATTATATCATTAATTTATATATAATATATGTTCTTTTATTTATACATGATGAAAATATTAATGAGATTAACAGTGGAAATATACCTGAAGATTTATTGTTTATCGGGGATAGAGATTTTTTGGATAAAATTTTGCAAGAAGTGTATGATCAATCATATGCATTGAAGCATAATCTACTATACTATCTATATTAAGTCCAAGGAATTATGATATCAATGTCAAAAAATAATAATTTTGGTATATATTTTATTAAATTTTAATTTAATTCAATTTCTGACTTTAATCGAACGGTCGGTTCATATATACATGTTTTGGTATATAATTTACTAGATTTTATTTTAATTCGTTTGGCTTATTTGTGATTATTGAATAAAACAGACCGAAGTTTATGACTATACATATTTGAATTTCGCACACTCCAAACATTCATGAGTTTCTGTATGATGACGTGTTTCAACTATAATTTGATGATTTTTTTTTCACTGAATTTTATTTCATAACAAAATCAAACACATTATAGAATGTATGATACAAAATAAAAGCCAGCAGAAAACCTTTAAAATGAGTTTATATTCATGAGTTCCTTTAAAATGAACAATAAAACTCAAATAATTTATTAGTAGATGGTGGCAAGCTTGGACCACAAATGTGTACACTAACAAGTAAGCATTCCATATTTTATTGACAGTTACAAGTGAATTGATTCACACTTTTCAAAACTTTTTTTGTTAAAAAAACTTTTATTTATCACATTATTGGATACGTACATTGCCAAAAGGTACATTTGTCTTATAATTCAGTCATATTGAATTTTTAATTAAAATATAATTCATCTTTTAAATGACATTAATATTTTTTTTTTAATTTTTAAGTAAATATAGTTGGATAAGATATGCAACATAATTTACATTTAGATGGATTTTTCATTATTCAAAAAAAAAATTGGATTCTTACAACTTAACTTTAATATATCATTTTAAACATCTTGGTTTGAGTGAATAAAGTTACAATTGTTTTTTCGCTCCAAAATTTATTTCTTTTTACATTTAATGCGAGCTATTAGCTAAATAAATTACGTGGGCTAGCTAGCACACTGTAAAATAGAAATATTTTGTATCTGTTTATTATTTATTTTTATATATTTTTTAAATACTAACAAAAATAATAAAGAAGAAGAATGTATAGCAAAAAATTTTACCAAAAAAGTATTTGGCTGCGCTGGCGCGGACAGACCATCTAGTTTATAAATATTTTATCTCGGCAAAAAATTTGTTATAGTTTCTCTTTTAAACTTAATGTTTCTTTTTCCAGTTTTTTATATTTACTTTGCAATTTGATCATTATTTCCTTCATATTTTCTATTTGACAATACTTTTCCCGTACAAAGTAATGGGAATAATACTAGTTAAAATATAAACTTGTGCTAGTTTTGATTTTTTCACCTGTATTATAAAATTATAACTTTCATATGGTTTAAAATCATTCATATTTTCTCTTACTTTCACGATACACAACTAAAATTTGACCCAAAAAAATAATTACATATATATAAGAGAATCATTATAAATTAATACTTCAATTTAAAAAAAATTCTAATCTCAAAATTAATTTATCAGTCAAATAATATATTTATAAATTGATAAAATTTCATCGTACAAATATTATTAATTTTTTTTAAAAATTATTGTATATGTAAAAGTTTCATTGCCTTGCGGTCCACTTTAATCAACGATTGATATTCAAGCCTATATAAACCAACGATTGAGCGCACTGTAGCTGATGATATTACAAGAAGTCGCCAAAAAACTCAAACTAAACGATTCATCTTCTCCGACTAGATTTCTCTACCGGTGAGAAATCTCTGTATTCGCCTCTTCTCTATCTCTCCTCTCTAACCATCGAAGCAACGGCGTTTTCGAGGTTCTCCTACATTTTTCCTTTACATTGGCTGATTTTTGTTCTCCTCCCAGAGATTGCAAAACTGCGGCGTATTGCAATCGGCCTGGAAAATTTCCGCCGCTTAATTTCCCGCCCAGCTCGGATTTCTATAGAAATAATTTTGCCTTCTTTTATTTGTTTAGTGGATGAACAAAATCGTATCTTTTTTGATGGGTACTGTTTATTTTCTGAGAAATTGAAATTCTCTACTCTGCTTTTGATTTGAAGTATTTTGCTTGTTTGTTTCGTTCTGTGTACTGCATTTGCTTCTAAGGACTGAGTTAGCATTTGATTCATGATTGTCCGCACTGATAGAGTAAGAAAGCCAGATTCTTTGAGGCCTGAAGCTACTTAATTGTGTTGCAGGGAGTGTGTATTGAGCTGAAAATGTCTCTAATACAATGTGGAAGCACATGCGTTGCTCAAGTTGCAGCGACAGCTTATTGTCCGAGCAGAGTCGACTCAACCGGACAAAAAGTGTAAGATTTTCTGTCCAAGTCTCTGGTTAGAGTCTAGTTCTTGACACAGTAGTAATAATATGTTGAAACTAGTTTGATCTGTTGACATTGCGCACCCAAAGATGAGTCTTTGTAGATTGGCTATTGAGGTTTACTTGAACAGAGAAGTTTTTGGAAAAGTTATATATCTAAAACGAACATTAAAGGTTTTTCCTTTTCACAATGTGACAGTTCCATGAGCCAAATAGATTGCATGGGAGCTTCAAGGTCGAGTATGTTCTCACACGGGTCCTTACCCTTCTTGTCCATGGCCGGAATGTCAAGAAATATGCAGAACCGCAGAGGATCTCGCTTCACCGTTAGAGCTGATGCAGTGCGTAATCCTGTTTAGTATATGTGGCTTGCTTAGATCTTGAGTTGCTTATTGGTGATTGTGTGCATTTTTAGGTTTACTATTCGGTCCTCGGAGTTTCGAAATATGCGACCTTATCTGAGGTTAAAAGCGGTATGTTTTAGTTTTGGATTCTTGGATTCTCTCGTGCTTTTGTTTAGACTTGTACTCTTTTTGGTATGACATTGATTAGCTCTTCCATGCTTTGGTTTCAGCATATCGGAAACTGGCTTTGAGTTACCATCCAGATGTGAACAAGTAAGTGAATAACCTCATCTTGAGAACCAAGAGGATAACAACATTGACATTCAATAACCTTAATCTCTCTGTTAGCCAAACTCGTGAAATGCCAAAAACCAAGATGACTAATACTTGAAAGTTATAAAACTGTCACCTTGTTGTTTACAGGGATCCTGGTGCAGAGGAGAAGTTCATAGAAATAAGTAATGCATATGAGGTGATATGAAACACACCTTCTCCTCTGTTTCTATTATGCAAAGACCAAACTTTCAGATATGCTTTTTTTAGCCATTTTTGAGGTTTCTGTTGACTAAAGAAATTAACAACAAAAAATTTCTTATGTTCTGCAGGTCTTATCAGATGAAATGAAATCTCTTTACGCCAAGTATGAAGTTGAAGGCATGAGGGCGCGTTGTAAAGACACAGAGCTCGAGTTTTATTCTTTAAAGACTCTTAGAGCCAAATGCACCAAGTGTTTGCATCAGCAAGAACTCCTCTCGAGGCGAACCAACAAGTCATGACTTGCTCTTCCTGTAATGGCACTGGAGTGGTACTTTCTCTCAACACGGACTCATGAGGAAAAGATATAAGTTTCAAAAGTACCACCCGGTGTTGATTCCGGTAACCAGTTAAGAGTGAGAGGAGAAGGCAATGCCGGGAAAAGAGGCGGCTCACCGGGTACCGGCAGTGACACAACCGAGCACGACTCTGGTGATGGCGAAAAAGGAAGTTCTTGGTGATGAAATCACTTGGTGAGACTAGATACCTAAAGAGACTAAGCAAAGAGGACAAGAAGCTTTGCATAGTTACTCTGAGATTGTGAAATGAAATCTTTTTCTTACAAAAATGTCTTTCAATCGGTTATTTTGAGAAGGTGAAAGCACATGTATATATATATAGTGGGAAGATATGTTTTGGTTAAAAGCTTTAATGAAATGTTAAGATCTCTGAATATTTAATAAATGTTAACCGAAGAATAAATAAAGTTTCTTAATCGTTACCTTTATTCATGTGCAAAACATTTGGGGATATTTTAGGTTGATCAAGAATCCATGGAATCAATTATCTTTTGTAGTTTCAATATATACCAAAGCCCTCCATAAGAACTTTTGCTTTTTTCTGTATAAAGAAAAATACGAGATTCTTTCTTGACCCTTGGAATCAATTTTTTCCTCTATAAAGTTAACTTTAGACCTAAGTTACCCTCCAACACAAACCTACCACATATGACTTGTACCACAAACAAAACCCATCTCTTTCCTCATTTCTCAGTATAAACCCATAGAGGAACAACAATTTTGAAACAACACCAAACACCCTAATAACCTTTTTTGAAAATATGGAAATCCAAGAACATGGGAGCGAAATCGTCTTCTTCGATCTAGAAACAACAGTTCCGAACAAACCGGGACAACGTTTTCACATCCTGGAGTTTGGATCAATACTTGTATGTCCAAGAAAACTCGTGGAACTCGAGAGCTTCACCACGCTTATACGTCCCAAGGACTTAACCGTTGTCTCGTTGAGGTCTTCTAGGTCAGATGGGATCACGAGAGATGCAGTCACGGACGCACCATGTTTCGAGGACGTGGCTGATAAGATCTATGGCGTGTTGAACGGTCGAATATGGGCGGGTCATAACATTCGGAGATTCGACTGTGTTCGAATCAAAGATGCTTTCGCTGAGATCGGAAAGCCTGCGCCTGAGCCGGCGGCGATCATTGATTCTCTTGGGGTTTTAACCGCAAAGTTTGGCAAACGAGCTGGTAACATGAAGGTATATCCTAACATTTTAAAAAATAAAACATAAATGTTATATGCATACAGATATGAACACAAGTGAAAGTGATGAAATTATAATTTTCATGTATATACGTATTGTAACAAGTTTGTTTGTATTATGTTTTAGATGGCAAGTTTGGCTTCGTATTTTGGTCTTGGAGTGCAAAAGCACAGGTAGGCACGTACATAAATGTTATATGTAATATATATATGCTTATCAAAAATACTAGCTAGGTTACTATATGAATAATTGATAGTGAATATAAAAATAAAAATGTGCATATAAATACTATGCAGGAGTCTGGATGATGTTAGGATGAACTTAGAGGTGCTCAAGCATTGCGCAACAGTCCTTTTCTTGGTACACATCGTCGTTTCCAAACAACATATATGATTTTCCTCAAAGACTATTTATAAATATTGATCATGTTAATCAATATATATGTGCATAAACAGGAATCTACTCTTCCAAATGATTTGAAAGGAAAATGGCAAAACCCTTCAACGATAATGACAAGAAGTAGAAGTCAATATAAGTCTCCTCCAAATCCAACTACAAATTGTGTTCATAGTTACCGAAGCCAGAGGACAACGCCTTACATAAAAGGTGGTACTCTTGGAAAGGTAATAATTTCAAATTTCAGACAATAATGAATCTTTACATTTAATTATACGATTTTGATTATGTAAATAAATGCTGTTTATGTAACTATTATACAGATTGTGACTCGGAATGTCAAGAATTTGTTATGTAAAGCTCAAAGCAGCCAACCTCTCCAGACCTTGTTTAAACACTCGCATTCTTTGCTTAGATGATCACATTCATTATTGTAATTTTTAATGAGTATTAAATTTCTTTGCTTAATCTAAATTGGGGATCGATTTGTAATGGATGTGCAAGTATTTTCAGATTTAGAATATGATTGGTTTTTTTTTTTTGGTCAACTTTTTATATGATTGGTATATTATGTATATTTTTATTATTATCATTATAACCAAACTTTTTGAATAACAATGAATCTGGTATAGAATTTTAAAAATCTTTATATCAATAACAATGGATTTTAGTAAAAAATATTAAAATTCAACAATGAGACTGTATATGAGTATGATATAAACTTTTAATTTATTTAAAAAAGAATAAGAGATACTTTAACAAAAAAAAATGTATATTTTTATTAGGACAAAAACCAAAAATGTGTACGTACTCCTTATGTAAATGAAAAACTAACTGAATAATCGAAAAATGTATAGTTTTAAACGTCATGTGAGAACTATATAGTGATAATAAATGCATGTCCACTTGGGCATTAATGGTTGATATAACATCACGAGTTCACGACCATGACCAACATACTTATTACCTAGAAACTTCTCACAAATTCGATGAGAGATGATCCTATTTATAAAGTAAACAGGAAAAACAGTGAAAAAAAAGTAAACAGAAAAAAACAAAAGGACAAAGTATGTGTGGCCTGAAATGGATACAGATCCATAATTAGGTTAATAAGAATTTGAGAGGAAAAAGAAAGGTTAATACTTGATTGGTTGGAACTGTGTGATTGTAACTGTAAGTTGTTGAATCAATTTGTTAAGCAAACAAAAAAAAAGTTGTTGAATCAAAAAAATTTGGTTGTAAACAATATGGACTATGACTTAGAAACAAAAATGATTACCACCTACAAGAGTATTTACATTCTCCCATGCATATATATATATATATATAATAGTCTTTACCTACTAAACAATGTAATTGAATAATTAATTACTAGTAACAAACTTCCTAACTAACCAAAGAACATAGTAAACGAGAGATCGGTAATATTTGTTGGTTGATGCCATTTGGATTTTCTACAAAGAGCTGTTGTTTTACTACATCAGAACAATGGCATGCAAGCAGAGCCATGATCGTATGAACTCAGACATAAAAACATCCAACTAAACACAAAACATTCAGAAATGGTTTCGTCATTTCTAAATTCTAATAGGACCACTCATGTTAAATCATGTAACTAAATAACCCCACTTTTTGGCTTTTGCTTTAACCACAAATCATGCTTTTGGTTTGTGGTCACTGCTTCGTTCTGTACTGCGCATTATTCACTCGTCAGGTCCACAATTGTTCACGATTCTTTGATAATAACGTTTTAAATTTCGTGATTTAATGATCTTAATAGTACAATATTCACCATGAAGGTTAGAAACATATGCGTAACATCATATATAGACGTACTTGGAGCATATATAAGCGTTAAAAAAATTATATATACATGGTCATTGGTTAGTCTATCGTCTATAATGAACATATCTAACTATTGGTAACCCACATACTAATGATTAACCGCTTCTAGATAGATTTCTTGTGATAAATTTGTCTATAACATATGCATGGTTCAACCTAAACTACGTTTATAATAGATGATATAGCACTAAAATTTTAATATTTTTTTTGTTTTGATTTTAAAATTATTATAAATGTACAAGAAATTTCATTTTGAGGATCTCAAACCTCCAATATGATGCATAAAAACCTTGATATTAGAATGGTATTTACTTTGTAAAAAACAACTTACATACATAATGGGGTATATTAGATTAATGATTTGGAATGATTTTATTTTGCTTTTAAATTTCTTTTTATTGAATCTAGCATTTAAAAAATTTACTTAAAATTCAAGGTTATTAGATTAATCGTTTATACAAACTCATTAAAATCTTGGCTTATTGAAAAAATGATATTTCATTAATAAATTATTTAAAAAATGATTAGGGATGTTAAAAACCAATAGGATCTATATTTTGAACTTAAAATTCAATGTTTTTAAACTCTATATTGTCTCTCAAATCATATCAAATCATTTTTTAAAATAATTCATTAATGAAATCCCAATTTTCCAATAAAGCAAAATTTTAGTAAATTTGTATAAATGATTAATATAATAATTTTGAATTTTAAGTAATTTTTTTAAATGCTAAATTTAATAAAAAGAGATTTCGAAAAAAAAAATGAAATCATCCCAAATCATTAATTACAATTTCTTTGAGAAAATTTAGAATACAAAAGTTATTTAAATCATTTTAAAACTTTAATTTTATTAAAATATTAATAAATTTAGATTTATCTAAATTACTAATTCAATATGTCTAGATTTTTCCCAAACAAATGAATCCACATATATTCCACTGGGACCCTCTAGGCTTTTGTTTTGTTAACGGTCGCTACTTTACCGTTAACTGAGACGTTAACTCCCCACGCGCCATCACTGGACGTGACATCACTATCACACGGCACGTGTCCATCCATCAAGAACGCTTCTCATATCTTCACACAGCAGATCGCGCGTGGCATCCACTCGTTTCTTGGTGGCAAAAACTCTGCCGTTTTAACCGCTTCTCTTCTCCTCTCCTTCCTCATCCCTCGGGGGCCTTCGAGTGTCTTCAATGAAACAGGGACCCACAAAAATGAGAAAGCAACAACAAACAAGACTTGTCTTCACGTAAATCACGCCACGTGTATGGACCCAGCTTCCAACGTGTCTCTCACATTCTAGGTTTTCCCACACGTATGAACCAAACACGTGTGGTCTAGCGGCTCTCGGGCTCTCTGGGCTTTAGAGTAGTGGGCTCGGTCGAGCCAACCATCTCCATCCGCTTATGGGAAAGGACCAACGATACACTGACAATTCGCCACGTGTCCATCCCTCCTTGCGTCTTCTCTATATATCGTCGCTCTTGCTCGTCGATTGAAGATCACAAACCAAACATAGAGCTTAACGAAAAACAAGAGAGAGAGAGAGAGAGAGAAAATGTTCATCGAGAGCTTTAAGGTAGAGAGCCCGAACGTGAAGTACACAGAGAATGAGATCCATTCGGTGTACGATTACGAAACAACAGAAGTCGTCCATGAGAACCGCAACGGTACCTATCAATGGATCGTGAAGCCCAAAACTGTGAAATACGATTTCAAAACAGACACTCGTGTCCCCAAATTAGGGTAATCATCGATAAAAATTTGAAATTTTTTGCATGTTTTCTCCATTTTCTCGACTCGAATTCATCTGGGTCGGTGTTAAAATCCCGAAACCTCACGCGCATTTTCGACGATTTGGTGATTAGGGTTATGCTTGTTGGTTGGGGAGGAAACAATGGATCAACACTTACCGCTGGTGTGATTGCTAACAAAGAGTGAGTAAAACATTTTTGATTCAATTTCTCTGTTTTCCGGTTAGATTTTTGGGTTGAGAGTAACAAAAATCGGCAAAAACAATTGTTGTAGAGGAATCTCGTGGGCGACGAAAGACAAAGTGCAACAAGCGAATTACTTTGGGTCACTCACTCAAGCTTCTTCGATTCGGGTCGGATCTTACAATGGCGAAGAGATCTACGCTCCATTCAAGAGCCTCCTCCCAATGGTGAATCCAGACGACGTTGTGTTTGGTGGTTGGGACATAAGTGACATGAACCTAGCAGACGCTATGGCTAGAGCCAGAGTCCTCGACATTGATCTCCAGAAACAGCTTAGACCTTACATGGAGCACATGGTCCCACTCCCTGGAATCTACGATCCAGATTTCATCGCTGCGAATCAAGGGTCACGTGCTAATAGCGTGATCAAAGGCACCAAGAAGGAGCAAGTTGATCACATCATCAAGGACATGAGGTAATGATAGACTTACATATATATAAATGTGCAGAATTGTTAGTTAAGTTTGTGTATTGATTGAGTTTTGTGGTTTGATGGAATCTTTCTAGGGAGTTTAAGGAGAAGAACAAAGTGGATAGGCTAGTTGTTCTTTGGACAGCCAATACAGAGCGTTATAGCGATGTGGTTGTAGGGCTTAACGATACGATGGAGAATCTATTGGCCTCTGTTGAGAAGGACGAGTCTGAGATCTCGCCTTCTACTCTCTACGCCATTGCTTGTGTCCTTGAAGGCATCCCTTTCATCAACGGGAGTCCTCAGAACACTTTTGTTCCGGGACTTATCGAACTGGCGGTATCGAGGAACTGTTTGATCGGTGGGGATGATTTCAAGAGTGGTCAGACTAAGATGAAATCCGTTTTGGTCGATTTCCTTGTTGGAGCTGGTATTAAGGTAAAAGAAAGAAAACTTGTTTGTCAAGTAAGCTTAAACCTTTGTGATTGATCTGTTTTCTTTTGTGGCAGCCTACTTCGATTGTGAGCTATAACCATTTGGGGAACAACGACGGCATGAACCTCTCAGCGCCGCAGACTTTCCGCTCTAAAGAGATATCGAAGAGCAATGTTGTGGACGACGTGGTGGCTAGTAATGGCATCCTCTTTGAGCCCGGTGAACATCCTGACCATGTCGTTGTCATCAAGGTTTGGTTTTGAATCAGAGTCCTCTTTTTCTTTTTTTACGCTCATTTCATTTCAAAGTCTTGAATCTTTTGCTGTTGGTCTGGATTTGTGTTGTAGTATGTACCATATGTTGCGGATAGTAAGAGAGCGATGGACGAGTACACCTCTGAGATATTCATGGGAGGGAAGAACACAATCGTAATGCATAACACTTGTGAGGATTCACTCCTGGCTGCTCCAATCATCTTGGATCTTGTTCTTCTCGCTGAACTCAGCACCAGGATCCAATTCAAAGCCGAAGAAGAGGTTCGTATAATACTTGTTAGTACCCGAGAAAGCCGCCGGGATTCGCTTTAAAACCAATGTTGAATCATTTTCTTTATATTTCAGGCAAAGTTTCACTCTTTCCACCCAGTAGCTACTATTCTGAGTTACCTCACCAAGGCACCTCTTGTACCGCCTGGTACGCCGGTGGTGAACGCTCTGTCCAAGCAGCGGGCTATGCTGGAGAACATTCTCAGGGCCTGTGTTGGGCTTGCTCCAGAGAATAACATGATCATGGAGTATAAGTGAAGGACAAGGAAGAAGGAAGAAGAAAGAAGAAGCAGAGGGACCTAAGACCTTATGGTTAAGAAGACTTGTAATGCTCCCATTGTTTCGTTTATATATCATATTGTATATGAAGTGTGTGGGAGAGATACTATCAAGATCGTGTGGTAAGTAAGGATCGTGTCAGTTTATTTGCGAGAACATTAGCTAAAGCTTTTGGTTCAAGTGTGTCCCTTGTATTATACCAAATTTATGAACTATGAATATGAGTCTTGAATCTTATCAATCAAAAACACAAAAGGGCAGAACAAACTTGAGGAATCTCTCTCGTATAAAAGTCAAAAAAAAGACAAAAGCTTTGGTCTCGTTTTTCCGAATCACAGAAGAAGCATAAGAAGAAGTAAACAAAACATTTCAGCGAGTGAGATTCAAGAACTGCCTGCAGAAACCATCATGAACTCGCCTTCGCACACCAAAGCGCCACCCACATAAGCTTTACCTTCCATCTTAGCAAGCCCGAACCGTTTCTGGAACTTGAGAAGAGTCATCCTCATGACCAGTGTGTCTCCTGCAATCACCGGTTTGCGGAATCTCACTTTATCGATACCGGCAAAGAAGAAGTTGTCCTGAGAGCCTCCTACCTCCGGCTGCAGCATCACTATTCCTCCCACTTGCGCCATTGCCTTGCAAATACAAAAAAACTCAACTTTTCAGCAAAAGTGATCTTGAACTTCCTCAATTACTCTGTAAGGTCACAGAAAGGACCATTCATGCACCAATAAGGATGAGATCTATCAGGATTCAGGATCCAAAACCAACATCAAACTAGCAGATCATTAACCTCCCATCATTGTTAAAACCGTGGAGAATCCCCAAACATTAGAGCATTTTTTTTTCACAGGTACACAAAAGCTAACGTTTCAATCACTGAGCTTTTATTATAAGTTTGCAGCTTTAAGGCTTTGTACCTCAATCATAAGAACACCAGGCATGATGGGTCGTTCAGGGAAATGGCCAGGGAAGAAATTGTCATTGATTGTGACGTTCTTAATAGCTACAGCTGAAACACCAGGCGTGTACTCGATCACTCTATCTACCAGCAGAAACGGAAACCTACCAAAAAAAAAAAAAAAAAAAATCGAAGAAACATTATCATCTTTCAATCTCACAATGTCAAATCTAATACCAAAAAGGATCGGAATTTCAAACTGTACCTGTGAGGCAAGATCTCTCTGATCTTGTTAATGTCCATTACCGTTGGAAATGCTGGGAATTCTGGAGATTAGAGAAGAGAATTAGAGGAATGGAAATGAGATGTCAGAAACATCAGAGATCGAGGAAGAATCTTACTGAGTTCGATTGGGGTATCTTTCTCGGATGAGATGTTATCGCCATTGTTGGAACAACGAAGCGCGAGGGAACCGGATCGCTTGTTGGGCAGGAGAGAAACAGAGTGAGATCTGGAAGAGGAGAGATGGAGAGGGAATCTGGGCGGATTATGATGATGACTCAGTGAGTCAGAGCTCAAGAAGAGTACCGAGTTGGAAGTAGTAGCCATTATCAAAGTAAACAAGGAAGAGAGAATGTGAGAGATGTTTTAGAGACGAAGCAGCGGAGAGTCCAAAGGAGGATTGTGCAATCATCAGAGATAGTGAACAAAAGTGAGATTAATTAGGAAATGGAAATTAACTAATTGGCCCATTAGCTCAGTTGGTTAGAGCGTCGTGCTAATAACGCGAAGGTCGCAGGTTCGAAACCTGCATGGGCCAACTAACCATAATTCTTTTTTCAATGGTCATACATATTAGTATTTATTTTTCTAAATTGATATTAAAAAAAAAAAAAGTATATGAATGTTCCTCTTCCTTCTGATGCTCTGACTAACTTAAAAAAAAATATTGAATATTAGCTGGATTGAAAAAAAATAGGTCAGGGTTCATGAACTACTAGTATTGCATCATCTCGATTCTCGACCATGGTTGTGGTGACATGGTTGACATTTCAAGATGTCAACTAGTTTTGATAAAAACAAAAATTTACTAGTAAGTATTTTAAATTTAATATAAATGACTATGTTTTCTTGGCTGTGATGATTATAAATGTGTCAGCTAACTTCTTTTTAAAACGGCTAACTAGAATGCTTATATTAAGTTCAGAAAAATTTACATTATTTTCATGAAGATATATTAATTTTCTTTAAAAGTAAAATAATATCAATATCAAAATAATATATTTTATGATATAAATAAAATTGAACGCTTTGAACATAAAAACTCGCATATAATTCGTAACATCCGAACATTTTGCCTCTAGATCGACTATATAAAAGAGTCACTAATTGGCTTCTCACATTGCTAAATCATAATGCCTTTGTCTGAATGTCTCCGACTTCACTTCTAAGTTCTAACTATTACAAATTCTAATAGGTGGTTATTCAGTTTCTAAAAGTCTTTATTTTCTGTTATATACTGTAACATCAAATTCCTAAAAACCAATATAACTATATATGGTCTATTCAACCGGATTTATGACTGGACCACAAAGTAAAACCCTCTTAACTTGTGAATTTAATACCTCATTTATGTGTCACCAGCATTCACATGGATGATATCATTCGTATTCTAAGTTTATAACCCATTCATTATGGACCTAGCACGTACCTTGAAGGTATATGTGTCCACATAAAATTAAAATAATATAATAAGATGTCATATTCCAAATGTTAATGTGAATTGGTGGTATACTAGAATCTCACATATCTAAAAGTCCATTTTATTGGGTTTTTTCATGAGTCATGATCTCAAATGCCCTTCTTACTCAAAATTAATTTCTTCTTACTCAAAATTAATTTCATATATCTCTCAATAATTTGTATATCTTTAATATAAGTGATATTCTTATTTTATCCTTAATGAAATTAATTAAATAATAATTATTTTTTTAATTATCGATAAATATAGTAAAATTGGGTAAGAGTTGGTGCAACTATATTATTCAGTATAATTTGATGCTACTAGTATTACTGAGTAAAACTCGGTGCAACTAGTGTTATTAAGTAAAATTCGGTGCAACTGGTATTATTGAGTAAAACTTGGTGCAACTGATATTACTGAGTAAAACTTGATACAACTAGTATTACTGAGTAAAGAGAACACACAACTGTGGATAATTAGTACAACAAACATTCAGTTGTACCAAGTTATGCCAGTTTTACATATAAAATCCAACTAGTTTTATCTAGTTCTACGAGTATTACTTATAAGAACGTATAATTATGGATAACCAGTACAACAAACATCTATCTAGTTGTACCAAGTTATGTCAGTATTACATGTGCAAACCCAAAAATTTTAAATCGAATCTAATGATTCCCACAATTGACATCAAGAGCAAAATAAATCATGAGACTCTTCATAAACAAAACGAATTAGATCCGTCTTCCTCACCCAACATAATCACATATCCCTCTTTTTCTACTTTTTCTTGAACTTCGTCAACAATGGCAGCTAAATCTGCATCTTTCTACTCTGCATCTCAAGCAATCTTCCTCTTTTTTCTTGTCCACTTTGTCTAAGTCATCTATTAAAAACAAAAATCAATTGAGTAATCTCCAATTTCACGAAGAAAGATGAAAAAGGAAGATAAGTTAGAGAGGAGGAGTTTCTTCAATTTGTGAAGAGTTTTTTTCACGACAAAGATTAAAAAATTTAGATTTATTTTTGAATTGATCCATTAAATATGGGTTTGAATAGGTTTAATATGGTTGGACCTGTAATTATAACAAAACAAGGGATAAAATAGACATATATAATGATTTTCGAATTAAAAATAATTCAAAAAAAAAAGATATTTGAGATTTTGGTTTTAGACAGAAAGGCATCTTAGATTAAAACTTGTACTTTCACTCGATGGTTAAATGGTTTGAAGTCAAATTGGCCTTTCAAAGAATCTTAGAATCAACAATTTAGTTGATGTTTTGTTGTTCTGGCTCTTACAACGTTTTGTAAATATGTATTATACTAAAGAATTTTATACTACATGTCATTTACTTTTATGTAAAAATATCCCAAAATATGTTATGAAATAAAAGTAAATGTGAAAAGCACGTAGCTATAAATAACGCCCCAACCAACCAACCATTCACTACTAAATCTTCAACCTTATCATCGACAATAAAACATTTTTGAAAATTTATATAATAACAAGAAATTTTAGAATTAGTTTGAGCTTTGATCCAGATAAATCTAGCTAGTTCCCCATATACAACCTAAAACTATATGATCATGCCGCTAATACACATATTAAAATATGTAAGCTCGCCTCTCCGATTATATCTGGCTCTTAATCACTTCCATCATACAAAAAGATGGTTCAAAAACATTTGAATTATTCTCCAAAATGAGTAATATATTGCGTGTTAAACAATTAAAACATGTCTTAAAAACAACAAAAGAAAAAGAAAAAAAAAACATTTCTGCCATCTATAGCTTTCATGGAATTAAATATAATAATATTGATAATATCTGTGACGATTACAGATACGTTTTATAAAAAGTTTAATAATATTTGTGAGAAACATTTCTTAAATAACATTAAGACGAATTCAATGGATCCAGCCGTTATAAAAGGTCGAGAGATTGAGGCTCTCTTTTTGAACCCTAAAGGTTTCGTTTTGATCAATTTCACCCCTTCTTCTACCTCTCCATTCTCTGTTCTTCGTCCTCTGTTTTTCAAATGGGTATCTTGAATTCTTGATTAATATTTCAACAGCTAAGAGTATGTGCCTTTAAATCTTCTTCTTCTTTGCGTTATCCTCTCTGTATATTATAAAAAAATCTCACTTTATTAACAATGGTGGCCACAGATCTCTATGTCGATCCTCTCATGGAAACTACTTCTCTTTCTAATATCCATAAACCAAAGACGAGCTTCGGTTTTAACCAAGCGAAGCCTCTCGGTCTAAACCAGCTCACACCATACCAGATTTACCAGATTCAGAACAAGCTTAACCATAGACGCACCACAATCTCAAACCGAACCCGAATGAAGAAACTCTCACCTTCTTCCTGCAAATCTCAGAAGCTCTACAGAGGCGTAAGGCAAAGACACTGGGGAAAATGGGTTGCTGAGATCCGTTTACCCAAGAACCGGACCCGTCTCTGGCTTGGAACGTTCGAAACAGCCGAGAAAGCTGCCTTGGCTTACGACCAAGCTGCTTTTCAGCTCCGTGGAGGTATCGCGAAGCTTAACTTCCCAAACATCAGACACAAAGACATCAATCCTCTGGCTTCCTCTGTCGATGCAAAGCTCCAAGCTATTTGTCAGGGTTTGAGAAGAACAGAGGAGACTTGCTCTGTTTCAGATAAAACAGAGGAAAAATGCTCTGTTTCAGATAAACCAGAGCTTGTCTTGCCGAAAACAGAGCATCCGGAAACGACGAAATCCTCCGATAGGTCACAGAGAAGCGATGAGAACTCGTCGTCAGAACGAGGTATAACATTCCTTGACTTCTCGGATTCTGAGTTTGAAGAGATTGGTAATTTCGGGCTTGTGAAGTTTCCTTCGGTGGAGATCGATTGGGATGCGATTAGCAAGCTTTCCGATCTCTAATGGTTACGCAGTAATCTCTGGAACTGAAATTTTTTGAACAGTTGAAGAGATTTTTTTTTTTTAGGTTTTGAATCTTTCGTATTTTTCTTTTGTTGGTCGTTTAGGGTTTTTCTGTGTTGGTTTGGCTTGGTAAGTTTTATGGTCCTCGTCTTTCGCCAATAGGAGAAAGTTTTGTATTACAAAAATTATCATTATGTATGCATTACACCATTACACCATTACACCATTGTGCATTACATTACATATCATATTTACATTCTCTTTTGCGAGTGAGAAAATGTACTTGTAAAATTAATTCTGGATTTCTTATAATGGTGTCTTTCGAGGCACCAACGAAATGTATTTGGGCCATTTTGGGCAATTAGCGCCCAAAATAAGATTTGATGAAATATATAAAGACTAGGCCCAAAGGATTTGGAATCGGCAATTAAATATATAAACCATTTTCTTTTTTTCAACCACGTTATACTGTATATATTTTTCTGTGTGTTTTGATATGGTGGATGTATTTGAGAAGAGGTGGTTAATAGATGTAGTATTCTGTTCGAGATAAAGATAGCTTTTAAATCTGTTCATGTTTATATGTATATCCACAATCTGTAAGAAAATGCACTTTTTGGAAATGGAAGTTTTGATCTGATGGAAACATTAAAAACTCAGTCACTAAGCCAAAAGAGCTTATCTCCATTTTTAAAAATATGATGTTTTAGGATTTGCACACATTTTAAGATATAATTTTATAATTGTTTTTTGTTTCTTTTTAACTACTTTTTGTTTTTTATTATTATTTTAACACTATTTTCTCCTTTTAATTGGTAAAAAAATTCTTGTAAAACTAAAATAAAATTTAGAACATCAAATTTTTAAAAACAAGAAAAAAACTTAAAACATCTTATTTTAAAAAAGCAAAGAGAGTACTTTAGTAAATAGTAAATCGCGTCAAAATGATAATATAAAAATCGGGTTTACGTTAATGCAAGACACGTAGAAGGAGCATAAAGCTTTACTTGGATTTTTGTCCTACACCATTAATTAGATTATAAAATACCACAAACTCCAACTGTTTCCGTTGGAATCCGTTTAGTGCCTTTAATTCTATATAAAGCCATGATTAGTTCTTCTTCTTCTTATATGGGGTTGGCAACTAATCATTTTACAGTCCATTGCAGTCAGTTATTGTGGCTGGTATAGTTTGAAATGAAAATCAAACCATTTTTAAGTGTTATGTTATTTTAATACAGTATATTTCTGCTTATTAATTAAATAGAGCTTTCAAACATTGCTAAAATAGAATCACCACGTATTAAATAAACAACCGTACGTTCTTTTCCCATTTATCTTTTGGCTTTCACGTTAAAATGTAAAAGTTGTGTGGATCACTTGAAAAATAAAAGAAATACACTGAAAATAAATGTAAATGCAAACGCAAACAAACAATCAAGTTTATGATCGTTGTATGGTAATACAAAATGTACGTCTACCGATCATATATTCATATATACTAATTATATTTGTATGTGCATTTTAATATCGAAAGTTAGATGGTCTACACGTTTTTTTCCCACATAATCGATCGCTTTATTGTGTTTTTGTTTGATAAATCCTGTAGAAAAGTGATTATATCCATTAAATTTTGAAGGATAACGTGTCATTATTTAAATATTGACGACTTTTGGAGAAGATCAAGAGTTACCTAAGACATTCTCCTTTTAAACCACTCATAGACAATGCCACTTGCTATTTTAAGAAGATATATGTATAGTGGGCTTCTTTTGTTATTTAAAAAGAATTTTGTTTAGTTATTAGGCATATTTAGCCCAATTGATGAGACGAATTCATATAGTACATTTAGTAGACTATCGAATACGGATTTCCTCTCTAGAACACGAATATGGAAAATTGTCAGAGGAATATATACGGAGACAAAAATATCAGAAGAACATACGAATTTACGAGTTTGGACCCATCAATATGAAAAACTCTACGTGTCTCAGCCAAGATTTATCTTTGAGTTATACGAGTAAGAGCACCTTTTGATTTACTAGTGTAAATAGTGATTTTTCTAGTTATGTACATAATCAAACTCCAAAAGCAGAGATGATATATATACGAGAAGAAACATAATTATATTTATAAAGATCATTTTCATATAAATTGTCTGTAAATCTAAAATTATCTTCTTAAGAATATAAAACCTTAGATAATACTACATAATTGTTTAGAATTAGTTCCCGCACACCTTAACTAAAAACTTGTAACAACTTGATCGAATGTGAGATATAATGAGATAATAATATTCCAAATTCATCTGTGCTTTTTTTTAAATTAAAGGCATCTAGCTTTCTATGTTGTCATTTTTCCTTTTCATTTCTTTATCGCCAAGAGGACGAAAATGATTGAAATGAAATTTATTTACTTTTGTACTATATAGTACATTTTGAGTTTATGGATTTTGAAAACATAAAACACTCAAAAACCATGGTATGGTGTATTTTATTTCTGAAAGTCTCAAACACTTCGAAGTTTTATCAACAATAACTTACAAGATTGAGTTAACTTAAAAGTTAAAACCTACAATTTTCGAATATATAAGATCTTTTGTAATTGTGTTTATATATGGTGTTAAGTGTTAACTATGAAGGGCAATGTTATTTCTTGCGACATTTGTTACAAAGATTCCCACCATAAAAAGGAGCGTGGTGTCTCATCAAGTGTCTGCGAAAAAGTTATTGTAAATATTTTAATATAAAAAATTATAAAATTTGGATGCTCAGCTTTTACATTGTATAATGAAGAACAGATTTCTATAGAACCAAAAATGAGGTTCATCTCAAATTAAATACATATTATAAAATGGAGTATATCAAAGATTTAAATGAACATTAATGCTGTGTTGAACCAAAAACTGAATGGAAGCTCTTAAGTCTTAACGGTGCTGTCCATTTTTAGTTTCCCATTTGGAAATCCTTTTACTATGTATGTTTTGTTTTTATTTTATTTTAATTATGGAAATTTTAGATCGAATTCCGTGGACTCCAAATAGAATTTTTTTCGTTTTTGCTATCATCACTGAAGCCCGTGGACTCCAAATAGAATTTTTTTTTTGCTCCTGTAGATAGAACCAAACCAAGAAATGATGACATCGTGACATGATGATTGTTAGTTTTGGTCCCATCATATGCTTAGAGTTTGGAGATAGGATTCTTGTTAGCAGTCTCACGTTCTCAAGGAACAAGAGATCCAGAATATTTAATTTTTCCTGATTAAGTAAATTATTAAAAAAAATGTTATATGTTTGGTTAAAAATCACTAAATATTGTTTTAAAAGAAATTGCACTGTCCTGAAATTTATTGGTGCTTGGTGTTTCTTGTTTAAGTTGGTTAAATTTTGGTATCTAATGCTGTCAAAACAACGAGTGATGGTAAAATAAAAAGATATCTTTTGTTTTTGGTATGAATGTGAAAATATATAGGTTATATATGGTCTCCTGTACATGTACGACATTTTGCACATGTTTGTATTCATTTATTTTAAATTGATAATTCATTTACACGATAAGAACCGCGCGACGAGTTTATATATCACTTGTAAGCATTTTTTTTGTTGCAAACCCTAGTTCATGATAATGAAATGATAAGATTTGAGTATATATACATATATATATATATTTTTTTGGATGTTGGATAGTACTCTTTCTCCGTGTAGAGATCGGTCACGTGGTGGATAAAAACAATTTTGATTCGTTTCACGTGAACTGTCAGTTCCATTACCTGGCTGAGAACTAAACCTCAAAGATCATGTACGATATATGTATATAGTGATACTTTTGTTTTACTCGCTGCATAGATTGTAGCTATTATGTTTACTATTCAATTAATTTCGTTAGACGAAACAGATTATGATATATAGATCGAAAGAGAAATTTGGAGAACTTCCGTATAGCCCTGCATATATGACAAGTCGCAATGTATGTCAATAAATCAAATTTATTACTAATTTGAATGTCTCTACGAACAAAATCAGTCTAGTTAGTATATAAACTTTACAGTGGTAGATATTTTTGAGTGAATGACTGATTGAGTAAAGCAGAATATTTTGGGAAAAAATAAAATAAAGTAGAAACTAGTAAGTGTCAAGTGTCAAGTGTCAAAATCACCCATCAGATAAAAAAATATCTGAAGAGAGTCAGACGACTTTATCACAAATTTAAAGATTAGTTAAGATCCGTTTTACCTCAAATCTCAAATCTCAAGTCTCAACTAATCAACTTTGTTTTTGTGTCAGATCTCCAATAAGGACTATGTGCTATTGTGCTAGACGTTGACTGGACAGTAGATAGTTGTTAACTACTTAGCCATGTGGCATTTAATAAACTGCAACAGCTGTTAACACAAAGAGACCTAATACGAACAAAAACGTGTTCGATTTTCCTTTGGTGATTCTTTTGTCTCGTTATAAAACTGCGCGCGAAAAATAAATAAGAACTGCATATTTGCATTGCATTGCATGTTATGGTGATTGTGTTCGTATTATTCTAAGAAGTCTTTGGTAACGCACCCTAAAAATATGCAAACAGTGGATATATTTTGGTTTTTTTTTTTGTCACTGAGAACGGAAACCTAGATATAATTTTAGATGTACATAAATCAAATCTACTCTGTCTTTTTTTTGTATTTCATTATTAGTAATAATTATGTGTGTGCTGTGATATTTTGAATCTAGATGCAGATCAGATGTATTTTGTTATACATGATCGCTAGCATTTGATTAGGTAATCACTAATCAGCCATAGTTTTGTTATTGTACGACTGACATGAGTTAGAGGTTTGTATATGAATAGAAAATATTCGTAAATTCATTCTAAGAATCAAGACTGTTGACAAAAGAAAAACTATTCAAAACTATTGAGAAAAAAACTCTACTTTTCATAATATTTTTCTAAAAAAACTGCAAAAACAGTTTCGATATATAATTCTATCAATTATTTTTTTTCTCTAATCAATATATATGATGGGGATAAATAGTTCATGATTTGTAAGACTAATCGAATCTCTTAATTACTAGCACTTACCAACTATTTTTTCTAATTAGTATGGATACCATATTTTTTTTCAATAATATATGTATTATATATATTTGAATTTGAATGGTGATCTATCGACATTAACACAAAATATATGTTATGGTCGATATTTATTTGATTAATTTTCAAAAATAAATATCTACTTATATCAGCATGATCAAATTAGAGGGGACCACGTGGCACTTGATGGTAACGCTCCAACGCCAAATAACCAAAGGATATCCAAAGCAAGCCATCGAGGAAGTATAGTGGGACTCGCACTCGATGGTTTCGACTCAGATACAAACAATATCTGAATTTTCATTTGTTTTATATATTTGTTTTTGATATTTTAAAGTTTCTTGTAACTATAAAATCAGTCCCTTACTCTCTGTCTCTCCCAAAACATACATTCATTCTCATTTTATAACTCCAATTTCAAGTTTAGAAATATCCTAAAATGGGTAAATTTTATGTTCTTTCTTCTTCTTTTTGCAATAATTTTCTGTTCTTTCTTTTTATAAAGAATTTTTAGTTCTTGCAATGCACTAATAGATCACCATATATATATTATCTGCTCTGTTTCAATCTTATATTCTCAGTGAGATTCATCGAAGAGAATATTACAAAAATGTTAGAGACTAAGATCATCTCAAACTCGGAGGTTTTGTACGCCGGAGGAGACGACGGAGATACGTCGCCGGCGACTAAAGTTTTTCAAGATTTTCAGATCAACGATAAAAACGTCGGGGGAGGAGGAGGACTAATAAGATCATGGGTTGATTCCATGAGAGCTTGTTCTCCTACTCATCTCCAATCTTTCAACGACCAATCTTCTTGGATCGTAATATCTTCTTGCTCCTCTGTTATTTTTTTCTTTTTCTTTTCAACTTTTTTTTTTTTATCGAACGAGACAATTTTGACTTTGCAGATAGAACATCCATCAGCTTTGAACATGTTCGAAGAAATACTTCATGAATCTGAAGGAAAAAAGATCGTCATGTTTCTTGATTACGATGGTACTCTCTCTCCCATTGTTGATAATCCTGATCGAGCTTACATGTCTAAAAAGGTATATTTCCAAACAAATAAAAACAAAGTTTTTCAGAAATTTTAAAAAGGGATTTTTCCTGCTAACCAAATATTCTGCCAAAATGATAAAAAAAAACTTTTGTGTTATATAAAAAACAAATAATGTGATATTATGTAAAATAACGTGATATCTATCAGGTAAAATAACACAATGTTTAAAAAGCATGCGTCAATACCATGTTATTTGAAAAAACATTTATGCCATAACAAAACCAACTTATTTACGTTAACCATTTTTTTTTTCAAAAAAGAAGGTACAATTTGGCTATCTAGTGCAGATATTTATCACATAATATATGATAAATTCTAAGTCTTAATTTATTATGTATTTTTGTGTTTGAAAACTTTGTTTCAGATGAGAAACACTGTGAGAAAACTTGCAATGTGTTTTCCAACAGCCATAGTTAGTGGGAGATGCAGAGAGAAGGTATCATATAAGTTTTTTCTTTTTTACTTTCAATTTTAATTATTGATTGTTGGCCCACATATTCACTTCAATATTACTTTACTAAAATTATGTTTCAGGTTTATAGTTTTGTGAAATTAACTGAGCTGTACTATGCTGGAAGTCATGGCATGGACATCAAAGGACCAGAACAAGGATCTAGATACAAGAAAGTATGAATACATAATCTATTATCAAAACCATTTTTTTAATTAATTTATGGTTTTCTCATTTCTAACACAAAATCTAGAAAAATCAGTCTCTTCTTTGTCAACCCGCGACGGAGTTCCTCCCTGTGATCACCGAGGTCACATTCTGCCCCATTTTGTTATGACTTTTCTTATAATTATATATCTATATATTTATGAACCTTTTTGAACAATATAAATATTTTGTTTTTCCTTTTTTTTCACAGGTTTATCGAAAACTAGTGGAGAAAACAAATTCGATTCCAGGAGCCAAAGTAGAGAACAACAAATTTTGTGCCTCTGTTCACTTTCGATGTGTAGACGAAAATGTATGGATAGTTTTTCTTCTAATACTTTTACATCAAATTAATCATATAGTTGTAAGAGATGTGTTTATATCTTAGTTAGTAATATTTAGATATATATACTCAAGTTGATTGTTATCTTATAATTGTATGCATATAATTTTAAAACAATCCACAATATAATACATAACATTGAAATTAACAGAAATGGAGTGACTTGGCCCATCTAGTTCGATCAGTTTTGAAGAACTACCCCAAGCTCATGCTTACCCAAGGAAGAAAAGTACGTTAATTAATTAAAAGTTTTACAGAATTTTCTTATAAGTAGTGAATATTTCAAATAAGATTGTGTTTTAATCATGATTGATTACTTTTTTGGTTTTATTTAATTTCAGGTGTTCGAGATTCGTCCAATCATTAAATGGGATAAAGGCAAAGCACTCGAGTTCTTGTTAGAATCACTAGGTAAAACTTTATTTGTGCCTAATTAGCTAACTATTGAATCGGATATTTCATAAAATAGTGGAGTATAGGTCCTACAGGAGTCCTTGTGGTTTAAAAGTTAAAACTTCTAACTTTAACAAAAATATAAGTTAATATTTTTAATTAATTAATTTATACTGATTAATATTTGCATTTGACATGTTTAGGATATGACAACTGTACCGATGTTTTTCCTATATATATTGGAGATGATCGAACCGACGAAGATGCCTTCAAGGTATATATATACAAAGCTAGTGTCTTGACAAAATTAATTTATTCAAAGGTGTTTAAATAAATATTGATTGACGTGACATTATAACAGATTTTGAGAGATAAAAGACAAGGTCTTGGGATTCTTGTATCCAAATACGCAAAAGAGACTTATGCTTCGTACTCTTTGCAAGAGCCAAATGAGGCAGGCTATATATATAACACATTACGAATACATATATTCTAATACTTTTGGTGTAATTTGGATTTGTTATTAATGTTTTTTTTTGCTTGGTTTAATAGGTTATGAGTTTCTTAGAACGTTTGGTGGTATGGAAACAGTTAACATGTGGGGCATGATGAACAGTTTACAAGTACAGGAGAATCATTTGTTTTACTTTTCGTTATTTTTTTGACAAAACTTTTTGTTATTTATTTAAGATTCTAACGTATCAGCAGGGAGCGAAAATGATTACAAACAAAACAAATAGAAGTTCTTGTTCCTTTTATTCAACTTTGGTTTTGTGACTACTGACTACTCCCTTGTTGTTACTATCAATGCGAATGTTCAAATTGCATATATGGAAATATTTTAGTTCTCAGAAGTCCGACGAATACTTGATATATATATTTTTTCGACAAAACATATTAATTTACATAGAATTAATAAGATCTGAATACAAAATTTCTGTTATCCAAAATGGTGGATAAGAATAATCTGAGAAGTAAACATGATTTGGTGGATCATACTTAGCTAACAAATGAGTTGCATTATTACATTCGTGTTTGACCTAACTGAAAGAAACATTATGAAACTTATTCATCCAAAATCTAATATCGTCAACAAATTTGAGACACTTAATATCTTGATTATTATGTTTGATTAATTGAAGTAAGAGCGAGGAGTCTCCTTCGAAACAGAGGTCACTGTATCCCATACACCATATATTTTGGAGCGTTATTAAAAACTATTTTCTTTGGTTTGCTTATCGTGTTTATAGATTGTACGAAGCATCGTAGTTACATTTAAAATAATTTAAAGAAGGACGAGGACGAGACCACATTCTCTTTGGTGGTTTACTTGTATAGAAGAGTTTGTAGAAGTAGATGTGGTTTTGAATTTTTGATCCATTCTGTTTTTTTCTACGTATATTTTATTTATATCTTTACCGATCTTGATCTGATTTTTTTGAATATAAGATTATTTGATATTTTTTTTATATAATCGACTTTCTACACCAAATCATGCATTACATTTGCGATTCACATTATTTTTATAAATTATGTAGTAAACATAAAAATAAAATAAAAACTCCATTGAGTATGTCAAAACACTTCATTTGCATGGCGTTTGTTTTTAAAGTTAAACAAATAAAATAATTGTATAAGATGCCAAAAACTGACACAAAACAGGAAAACAGACTTACAGGCAAACAATATAAATTAATGTTCCAATAAATACATACAATTTCGAATTAGTAAAGATAGTATGTAATGCAGCAGAGTGACTAGCCTTTTCATTATGCTTGAACAATATATACCAAATGCACATAAAACCGGAAAACAGACTTGAAGGCAAACCAAAATTAATACATAAATTAATATTCCAAACAAATATAGACAATTCTGAAATGGTGAAAATAGTGTTTAATCCAGCGAAGTGTGATATTTTTATTACACTTAGAAGAATATATACAAGAGGAGTAAAAAGGAGTTTGATTTTTAGTTAATCTCAAAGATTTCACACGTGCAAAACACAAAACCGAACAAACTAACATAGGTCGAGATTATTTTTATTATCTAAATTATGTAAATTCAGTTTTACTGACGTGACTGTCCAGACTATTCTAAAAACATGAAACTGTTGATAAAAGAAAAATATTCCAGACACTCTGGTTTTATGTGATGTATAATAAAACTGTTAAATTTCATACATATTTTGCTCACGCATTCAATTTGATTTATTTTTATGAGACTTTAAGTGATGTATAATAAATTTTGTCAAAAAAGTGATGTATAATAAATATATAGACTAATTTATTAATAACTAATTGATTTTAAACTGAAAGCGCATAAAAAATTATTATGGTTTCAGAGTTTGAATACACATTTTTCCAACCTGAATCAATATAAAATAACCCCAAGATCAGCTAGATCTAAAATTAGTATGGTCAAACTAATCCAAAATTAATTTTATTATGAAATATTGTCGAGATATATAAGAATGTGTGGGAAAATATTCCACAACAAAAAACGATGTATAAATAATATGAAACAGTGTATAGTATGTATCAATTTTGATTTGGAATGTACTAAAATTTAACATATACCAAGATAAAATATCTGTTTGTACAATTGTGTTATTTAAAATATATATGATCGATTATTTTATTTTTCGGGGGGAGGGGGGCAACTTATCAAAAAAAAAAATACACATAAATTATCAATTAGTTAAGCCACTACTATATACCAAGAAAAGGTTGAGTAGTCATTTTCACGAAACCAAAGTGGAGATACAATAATTGTGTATAAAAAGATATTCCACTTGAAAGTGAAGCAAATAGGTCCAATTATTTATCTAGGGAAACTTTGGACCATTTTCACATTCTTATTACGATAACATTATTGATACCCATTTTGGAATACTTTTTGTCGAATAATATATTACTTGTGATTAAGAGCGGATCCAAAAATACATTTTAGTCGGGTTGGGGGCACATAATTTTTTTGTTCTATAACTAATTTTTGGATTTGAGGAATTGGAATAGGTTTTATATTAATTACTTAAGAAACATAAAAAATTAGACAAGTACCCTTGCCACCGTATCATACGTGTTGTTCTATGTCATGTCCCCTGTTTGTGATTAATTTTGGTTACAATTATATATAATTTAAATTAAAATTTGTAAGTTTTTTTGCACCCTAGGTTCTACCTCAATTAGAAAGGATAATTTACAATATATGTTGGTAGTTGGTATGTATCATCACCAGTTCAGTTCTGATATAAGATATACGAGTTTTCGGTCTAAAATTTTGCAGTATATAAAAAAAAAGTAAAGATGAAACTCATAAATTGCTCTATTGAGATTGCAAGTCTATTCTCAATGAAAATCTAATCAGAGATCTAGATATATAACACGACTGTTGGAATGGCATAAGTAACATCATTACTAGTCCAAAACCTACTTAGTAGGAGCTTAATATTGTTGTTGAAACTATTGGCATAAAAAAAGAATGATATTCCATGGTGGAGAAAACAACATATAATGTTCATTCATCAGTCTTTGTTCTTCACTATAACGGATTGCCATTGTTTTTTTGAAACAATTCTAACTTATAAGAAATCCAATATGAATAAGTTGCTTTCATGCAAATATAAAAACAAACTTTACTTCTCTTTCATATAATTCCACATGGGTTGTTGGTTGGAACGCACGCCTATGCCTCTCTTGTTTTTGTTTCTCTCTACTTTCTTTCGCACTTTGGCAGCACTACATGAAAAGTTCGTATAAAAATAGAAGTTCTTTTTTTGGTTACTTTAATTTTCTTGTTTTATTTCGGGATTTGATTAAATTACTATCCACTCAAAAGACATTGGACATTTGTGTCAGAGAAGATGATTATTCAGGTAAAAGGATTGGTGATAGAAGTTTCGCTCCCTATGATTTGGGCATCTGATATGAGCCACATGCCACATGCCACATGCATCCACATGCAACCAAGCAGTTTGGAACGTCTGGACATATTAGATAATGTAGAGGTTAATGAGCCATGAACCTCTACATTATCTAATAATCTCTACATTATCTAATACATACATAGATACATTTCAGTTTAAAAATTCTTTTTTTTTTCAACTAAATGAAGGAAATCATTTACTACATTCTACATCTTTAAACATATAATTTCATGTGACACCTTTTTAAGCATATAATATGGTTGTATAAATATTAGAAGCAAACTTAACAAAGATTTGTAATGTAGTTTTTTCTTTATGATTAAATTTGTAATATAGTTACATAAAATTGTTCATCATAGTATTTTTTTTTTGGGTAAATCCTAGTCTCATATATTAAATGTATATATAATTATGCATCGTAAAATGTGATGCAAGTAGAATTGATTAATTTTAAACTTTAGTACAGCAAAGGTGAAGCTCTCTCATGGGTGAACGGATTAAAGTTAAACATATATATACTCGTTGAAGAAGTTGGTTTCGCGGTACTTACCTCGTCCAGCAGTTAAATGATCCTTTTTCTCAGTAAATACTTTGGTTGACGCAATATAAAAATGTATTAGGCTGAGTTTCATTGAGAATAATATTTGGCTTTTGAGAATATTATTCTCACTTGAGAACATTATTTGGTACGAGAATTTACGAGTTGGGCATTAACTTTTAAATTCAGGCCCAATTATATTGAGATGAACCTAACTAAAGGTCATTATAGAACCTTGTTCCATGTGAATATACGTATAGTCTATTTGAACTGCATGGAGATGAACTAAATAGTCTAAATTGATACGTAGTCTCCAAAATAAAGATACATTGAAAGAAAAAAAAAAAACGCTCCGTCTGTTGTTGTGTCCTTGTTCTCGGTTTCTTTCGTCGCTCAACAATATAGAGTAGAAACAATGACACTTGGGGAAGAAGAAAAAATGAACAATTGAACATTACATCGAACGTATAAATTATTTAAGCACATTGTAACTCTAACGACACAATCATGAATATATAGAGAGAGTGTCAGTTCTTGAACTCACTCTCACAATTCTCCGACACAATTTCGACCTTCTTGGCATCCAATAATCCCTTAACCTTAACATCACAAGTCACCACCACTTCCTTGTTCTTTTTCACCGGTCCTGCTTCATACTCCGCCTTTAGCTCCATCATCAGCACCAAACTCACCGGTTGTTTTGATCCCCGAGGTGGCATAACCGCGTTCTTGGTCGACCCATCGAGCTTTACATCGACCTTGTCGGATCCAGATGCGGCCTGAGACATCTTTGGGAATTTCCCTCGTCCTAAGCTCTTGTTCTTGTACATTAACGAAACCAAACCACCTTTTTTCATCAGATAGCTTACCCCCATGTTAGACGTCGGATTATCAGCTCTCAACGTGACCTCGAAATTACTAGGTTTTACGGTTAATCCCTCGACCGAAAAAACCGGAAGAGCGGGACTGAAAGCGAAATGAAGGATGAGAGTGATTGCACCGAGGATGAATGCGAAAACCAGCAAGATGATGAAGAACCACATAAGACGTTTAAAACACCCGTTTTTTTTGTTTTTCTCCGGGTTACTGCGGCGTTTTTCGACGTATTTTGCGTGTTCCGGAGGAGGAGTCCAATAGACTTGATCTCTCGGGACCTGGACAACGTAAGTCTCTAGCTCAGGGATTGAATCCGGAGGAGGAAGAGACGGAAGAGGTGTGGTTGGGGTTGGAGAGAGTTTAAGAGAATGATTACGCCAATGGTGTGATGGAGGATCTTGAGAGGGCAATGAGGGGAGGCTGGAGGTTGGACGGTGCCAGGCGGAAGGAGGATCATCGGGTTTGTCATCGTCCGATTCATGGGCGGTGGCGGAAGGAGGAAGCCGGGGCCCCTCCATCGGAGAAAGGTGGGAGCTACAGAAGGTGTGGTGGAGATTGGTTTAGAGGGAAGACGAAAGAGAGAGAATTGAGAGAAGATGCGAAAATTAGGGTTTGCATGGGAAAAGTAAGTGGTTGTTGTTGCATTACTCAAACTTTTGGTTGGTTTGGAGAAGATTTTGCTATTTAGAATTAGCCAACTCACCTTCAGTTTTTTTACTTTTCTGTTATTTATAAAACTGCATTACAAAAACTCGTACATATAGTATATTTATATAACAGTTTGATGGTGTGATTGATGATAAAAAAAAGACGTTATTTCTCTTTGTTAACGAGATCGTTTTTATTCCAAACCAAAACTGAGACTAATTTCAAAAGAAAAAAAGCAATTAACGTTAATATATATATTAATTATCTTATTAAATATTATGTACAATTATACATCAATAAACAAAAACAACAACATCATATATAACGAGCATGGGTAAATTAAAACGAAAACTTTATATCAAAAAATTCTGTTTTCATTTCTTAGAACTCGTTTCTCTCAAATGATCCAAGCCAACTTTCCACCCAAAAAATTTGATGAAATTATTGGATTTTGAATAGGATGGACTTTTCATCACCGTGAAAATGTCAAAATAGCAAATGATTATAATAAAAAACTGGGAGTCCAAAATAAAATACTTCACATTTGTAAAGTTTGTCCTTTACTATGTGGACTTTGTTACTGTTTTGGTGACGTTTTTTTATTAAGACTATGTACAATGGCTTTAATTTTCAATATTCTAGTTTTTTACATTTTAACATTTCATATTATCTTTTCTTTTTCAAAATATATTTTTATGGTCTAAAGGGTTGTTTTGCTGACGTTACTATTCTAAAATTATTTCATTTTCGAAATATATTTTTATGGTCCACATATTTATATGGTCTCTTAAACACACACATATATATATATAATAAATAAACAGCTGTACATAAAAATCTTATCTTCATATCATCATATGGCCTACGATTTTATACAGTTGAAAGTTTTCGAAAAATCAAAAACAAAAAAAAAGTACTTTCGTTTCTTTATTTCTTCCCAATCCACGTGAAACATGTCATGTAATACATATATTACAAAATCATATCTAAAGCAAAAAATAAATAAAATGATGCAATCCCCGATATTTTTCCACTCCGAATGCACTATAGTACATATATATATACATAGATCGATCGAGTAGTTTTGTAGTGTGGCATCACATGCCGACCTGTCCGCCGAGTAAACGACGTGCTTATAAGAAGGATTAGGATACTATAAATAATCATTATTCCTCTCAGCGAACCACAAATTGCCACGTTAACTTTACACGGTACTCCGAAAAGCAGAGAATAATGACTCAAAACTCTAAATATTTGCAGCAAATCTATTAATAGTTGGAGACAGATCAGATCTCCACTTTCTTACATTCATATATCACTAATGATGCCTCGCCGTGACGTTCTCCTCCTCTCCCTCCTCGTCATCGCGACACTCTCCGCCGTCGCATTGGCCGTAAGTTTCACAAAATCTTGATCCTATTGTCGTTGTTAAATCTTGATCATAAGTCATAACACTATTAGGGTACAAACTCGATCCAGTTAAAATAATCATTTTCTTGATTTTGCAGGAAGATGAAGCAGATTGTGTCTACACATTCTACCTCAGAACCGGATCGATCTTCAAAGCCGGTACAGATTCGATCGTAAGCGCTAGAATCTACGACAAATACGGAGATTACATTGGGATCCGAAACCTAGAGGCGTGGGGTGGTTTAATGGGACCAGGTTACAACTACTACGAGAGGGGCAATCTCGACATTTTCAGTGGGAAAGCACCGTGTCTTCCGAGTCCAGTCTGTTCATTGAATCTGACCTCCGACGGCTCCGGCGACCACCACGGTTGGTATGTTAACTACGTGGAGGTCACGACAGCTGGAGTTCACGCCAAGTGCTCGCACCAAGAATTCGATGTTGAGCAATGGCTTGCGACCGATACGTCGCCGTATAACCTCACCGCCGTACGGAACAACTGCCCGGTTTCTCTTAGACAGAGTGTTGTCGGTCGGGTCGGGTCTGAGATCCGGAAGACTCTCTCTTGGATCGTGTGAATCAATGAATGAAGAATTTGTGTGTTTCTTGGAGACTTGTTCTTTGTCGTCTTGTGAACGTGTGATGGCAAAAATGATTCGATCAAATAAAATTTCGGTTTTTTTGTTTGTTTGTGAGATTTAATCAATTGTCATAAAGTGTATTTTGAAGGATTAAGAGATAATCACTTGTTGATGTATTTTCTTTTTTGATATACATAAACGGTCAAATCAAAGTTAAAATATTTTGATGATTTCAAATCTTTACCAATCCATTATGAATTAAAGAATTAATATTTCAAAGTGTTTTTTTTTCCTCCACGTTCGTAACATTCAATATTATAGACTTTAGAGTGATGGATCTTTAAGTTTTGACCAGCAAGATCGGATCTTCACATGGCTGTCTCTGTCAGATCTTTAACTTTTTGGTTATTTTGTTCCGATTATTCCAATGGATGTTATTAAAATCACTAGGTATATACCCGCTGCGGGATATATGTACAGATATTGTATATATTTTTAATATAATAAAATTATTTTTATAATATAAATGAATATTATATTTATTTTTCTTTAACTTAAATTATGTATTTATATGTTTTAAATCTGAATAAACATTATATATCTTTAATTTTTTTTTTAAAAAAATTATATTATACTATCAAATTTGTTTAACTATCTATCTATAAATGTATATGTAAAAATAAAACAATACATTTTTAAGTACCTTTATGCTAATGGCAAATGTAAATTGTCATCTCTACTAAATTGCCACTTAATCCTCCTTTAAAATTATATAAAGCAAATTGCCATTTTTAAAAAAACTGAGAAATTACACTTTCTTACAAAACAAATAAAAATTTATTTCACATATTCCCGCCAAAACCAAAAACATTCATTTTCTCGTCAAACCTAAAATTTTATTTTTCCACCAAAATAGAGAAATTGCATTTTCCCACAAAAACTAAAAAATCATATTTTCCCGCGAGAACCTGTGTTTTTCCATCAAAACAGAGAAATCAAGTTTTTTCACCAAGACCAAAAAATTCATTTTCCCATGAAAACCGAAAAATTGTCAATTCCCGCCAAAAAAAATCATCAAACCAAAAATAAGGCATTCCTACTAAAACTGATAAAGCAAAAACCAAAAATTGCATTATCTCCTCAGAAATTGTGTTTTCCGCGAAAACTAAGAAATCACATTTTACCGCGAAAACCAAAAAATCATATTATATGTCAAAAACTGAAAATTTGCATTTTCCATCAAAACCGCGAAATTGCTTATTCCTTCCAAAATCGAGAAATTTTGTTTTCTCATCAAACTGATAAATTGCATTTTCCGCTAAAATCATCAAATTACAATTTTCCACGAAAATTAGGAAATCACATTTTTCTACAAAATTCAAGAAATCACATTATCCATCAAAAGCCAAAAATTTCTATTTCCTATCAAAACCAAGAAATCGTATTTTTTATCAATTGAAAAGTTGTATTTCTCTCGTATTTTTCTCGTCAAAACTAAAATATTTTGTTTTTGCGTCAAAATCAATTTTTTTTGTTTTCTCACCAAAACCAAAATAGTTACATTTTCCCGCCAAACCCGATAATTCACTTTTTCCGTTATAACCAAGAAATTATGTTTTCGTAGCAAAACTGAAAATCATATTTTCCTCTCGAAACCAAAGAATTCCCTATTCGTGCTAAACCCATGAAAATTTGTTCTAAGTAACCACTGGAAATGCGAATCTCCAAGTTATGGTGGTCTGAGTTTCTCCTCATTTGCTTTCGACTTCCAACTTTTGTAAACTTTTGGGCTTTTTAATGGGTCTGCAAAATAGTAAACTGATTTTATTGGTGTGTTAATGATATGTATTATTGTTATGTTTTTATTAGTTCAAATTTTTGCTGATGTGTGAGCTTCTTATAACATAAGACTTTTTGTGTTGTTATGGAAACATAGTTGATGATGAGCATCATTTTTTTCAATTATATACGTCTCTGTCGAACAAACAAATAGCAAAAAAAATTATTTATTTGCTACTAGTTATTATTTGGGTTAGAGTTTGGCAAAAAATAAAATATAAATTTAATTTTTTTATTTGCTGTTATTTATTATTTGGGCTTGGATTTGGCAAACAATAAAACAAAATTTTTTTTATTTGCTATTATTTATTATTTGAGCTTTGATTTGTTAAAAAATAAAACAAATTATTAACAAAAAATGTATTTGAGTTTTTAATGGGTTTTAATTTAAAAATTAAAATAAGTAGATGAATTGTATTAATGTTTTAATTTGATTTGTTTGTAAAATAGCTTAGGTGTCAGCTTCTCAAAGATTAAAAAATCTGATGTGTCAACTTATGGAGAGACTTAAGTGTTATTGTTGTATTGATTAAAAAAAAAGAAAACTTTTAATGAAATATATTGAGCATTAATAAATTGTCAAAGTACATAGTTTTCTTAATCCTCACGTTTAAGAGTATTAAATGGAGAAATACTCAAAAATACTTTAAAGCAAAGAGTATTTGACAGTGCAAACACCCTTTATTATAAAACGAATGTAAGGCATGCTTGGGAAGATTACTGGCCAACATATGTCAGAAACTGCTCTAACGGTTACACAACATTCTTTCTTGATACCAAATAAATGCTTTAGACTTTTGAGACATCCGCTTGATGATGTCTTGAACGCATTCACACATCCCTGAGGATCCGTCGGTTGAGCACTTGAACGAGACCAAGTCATTGCGATTACAAGAACCATGATCAAAAAGGTAGTCTTCATTATCGTTTTAGATTCCTTTTTGTTTGTTTGTTATTAATCGAGTTAGAAATTAAAGGAGTTTAGTTTGTAGTACTTATATTGATGATGATGATGGAGCCCTTTTATACTTGTTTTAGAAAATCTTTTTCAATAGAATGTTAGATATTAATTTACTCTGTTTCATAGTTTTTTTTTGGGGTCCAATTCTCTATTTGGTAGTTAACTTATGGATCTTTTTGCTTAGTAACCATATTGGGACATGATATGAAGAATATAGTCATAACAATTCTGAAACTAACAAACTAACCATATATTTTTTTTGAACAAAACTATCCTTTGACTATTTTGGATAAAAAATAGTGATATTTTATTATTATTTAAATTTCGTATTACATACTATTTCATTTTCCATTCTATACTATTTTATCTTGAAAAATAATACAAACTTATTATGCGAAAATTGTATAAGAAGAAGTAAAGGAAGAAGAAGAAAGAGAAAAAAAATTACATATCCAAAACACTCATCTCATATGACGTTATTTAACCTTAATCCGTTATATATCCATGAGAATAAACAAAACAAAATTTACCTTAAATCCTCATCTCATATGATGTTATCCAACTCTAATCTACTAAAGACCAGTGACAATAAATCCATATATTTTAAAACTAAACCCAAACCACTATTTTATATATCCAAACTTCCAAACTTTAACCAAAATTGTTATATATATATAAAATAACTCAAATTATTTGAAACTAAATTCAAGCCACCATTTATTATATATAAACCCAAGCCAATATTCTAACCTATAGATCGTTATCATATTATTAATTGGCAAGCAAGTTGGGCTGTGGTTGAGAGTTATTGTGGTTGATTACCCTTTACCCCTCATGTGAATTGACTTAATTTACCCTTAATGAAAAACTCTAATTATTTTTCTAAATTAATTTTAATCCAGCCGCTAAACCTAATAAATTATTCGGCTAAATCTATTGTAACTAATGAAAACCCTAATCCTTTAGAGTTTATATATTGCTTTCTACCATGTATTTTGTGTCTTATCGCATGTTAGTCATAATTTTTAGTTTGGTAGTTCTCTCAATAGTTTTATTTTTATATGTAATTGATCTTTGTGTTGTGAATGTAATTGTTATATGTTTTTAGACGGTGAATTTGTCTATATTGTTATGCTTACAGAAAATCAAGGGTTGGTATTTCAGACGATATGTTTGTCTATTTTTATTTTTACTCGAGCTTCATAACTGTGTTTATGGTATCTATGTTATTTTTATTTTCTGTGACTTTTTATGATCTTTGTTTCAAAAAATAACAGATTTAATAGTTTGGTGGAGCGATAGTTTCATTGTTTGAGATGAATCTGAGTTTTGCAGAGATGTTCTTCCAACTAAGGTAATTTAAATAATCGTTTACGTTTTTCCTCTTAGCCAAACACACTTTTTTCCTTAGCCAACACGATTTACTGGAGCCGCAAAATAGTTTTTTCTTAGTTTTAATTTTGTTTGTGATCGGTCCTTTCTCACCAACAAGCTGTTCCACTATTTAGATCTATATGAGCTTCGGTTTCGTGATTCAGTGACGATGCAAGAGGCGACGATCTGCTTATTGATTTGATTCACTCTGGAGGTTGTTGTTTGAGTATTAATTTGGTTATGAGGTTCGGTTTCGTTTGTTGTTTGTAGGGAATTGGTTCTACATCAGTATTTGGTGGAGTTTGTTATTGGCAAAGTTCATCTTTGTCTATTCATGATTTTCAAACATCAACAAAAACACCTTTGCTGACAAGATTCAACGTAGATGGATATTTTGAATTTAGGGCTTGTGCAACTAGCCATTTACTCTTGCCGTGTTTTGTGATTTTCTGATTTTTAAGGCCTAAAAGAGGGATCCTGGGAAGGATGAAATCAAAAGAGTTTTGGTTTGATAAATTCCTAGGGATCTGATAGAGATACATATGGAGATTTGGTTTGGACTTTTGCTGTACTTTTTTTTAATTCTCTTTAGTTTGTTATTTGTTTTTTTTGTCTTTCTTATTTTTTGTTTATGTTCAGTCTCTAATGTACGTGATGAATGTATATGGGGTTGTTTTTTTTACTCTCTTCATTGGTTGTTATAAATTTTTTTGTTTTTTTAGCCCATGCAGACATTACATCCATATATAATTTTACATCAAAACTTCATGGTCTATACAATAAGTCTTAAGGAGGAAGATCTCACTTTAGCAATTGGTTTAGATTGTCTTGTGTGTTATTTTGACTCATTACAATAACGATGTGTATTTGTTGGTGAGATAGATGTATTTTTGGTGAAGGCATGGGAGCAATAGTGTCTGATGATGAAGATGAACAACTACATAGCAATGCTAATACTTTATGGGGGTTATATATGCTCAGGTTTGGTCCTCTGATTCCTACTAAGAGCGATACATTTTTGATGGAACGAGTTAGACAATTACTCAAACGTGAATTCAAACAGGTAATAATAAAAAAAAAATCAATAACCATTTATCCATGGCTTTAATCTTCTATATATAAGCTCCAATACCTAAAACATATTTGAAGTCTCTACGTGTTTATATTGGATTCAGGATCAGCTCAATATTATTATGAACTCTAGGACAAATTTTTTGTTGGCTTATCCCACCTCATTATTATGAATTTTAAAAAAATTAACCAAGCCTCGCACAAAGTGCAAAGAAACCACACCTAGAATTGTTGTTATTATATTTAGAGGTATTGTTTCCAGAGTTAAATTCTGTTTTACACATTCACAATATTTTTATTGTGTTTTCTATGTTTTTCTTCATACACTAAACAAAAAGTTTTTTATAGCACTTGATTTGTTATGTGATTGCACAAGAGATGGGTGTAGCCAGTGGGGGAAGTAGGTGAGGACATACGGGGCACGTGCCCCCAACTAATTCTTCATTTTTCTATAGTAGTTAGTGTAAAATTCATCTAAATATTTCTAATAAAAAAAGTTATAGTCAAAAACATATATGTGCCCCCTACTAAATTGACTCCTAGATCCGCCACTGGGTGCAGCCAGATCATGGTAGGCTACATTAAATGAAAGACTAATTCTGACTAGAGGAAATATAGAACAAAATAAAACATCCAAAGAAGCTCGAATGAAACCTCTGGTCTAAAACATATCAGAAGAGTTAAATAAATAACGTACTATACAAAAGTAAAGAAAAAATAAAAAGAAAAGAAAAAATAAAAAACAATGGCACCAACGTAAAAAGGTGCCGAATACTAGCCAGAGAAAAACTTGAGATGCGCTAGAATTTTGTCATAAAGCAAGATGAGATGAGAGAAATTTTCTCTTCGTAAAAGCTAGAGAGAGCGTAGTCGATGATTAATGTAACACCATCTAGACAAGAAGAAAAGTAATATAACTTAATGTTCAGAAAAAAAGGAAACATAACTAAATAAATCTACAGCAAACAAAATTATCAAACTATTGTTTTTGTTCTGAAACAAAGCTTTATTATCATTAGGATATTCATAGCATTTCATTTGTATATCCTTTGCTGTTCACTCTATTATTTTAATATTGCTTTGATTAATCATAGATTTACAAGCATTGTGGTATTCTTATTTTTTATTGCTTATTTTTTTGTTTTTACGAAAAAATAATCTAATTGTTTTTTTTTTATGAATGATCCCATATTTGTTAGGTTGAATTAACATGAAAGCAACAACATCCATTATGAAGAAGGTACATAAAGCAATGTTATGTAGTTTTTTGTGTGTGTAAACATTTTCTTGTGACAGAATTGGAAGACGAAGATGAAGATGAAGACAAAAAAGGAAGAAGAAAACAAGAAAGAGAGAGTGAAAGCATCTCTTTCAAAAATAAGATAGAGAAAGAGGGAATAGAGAGATGAAGTGCGAGAAAGATATAGTGAAGGAGCAAAGTGGGAGAGACAAAGAGGATTTCTTTCTGATATAAGAAAGAGAGAGAGGGAAAATGAGTCTTCTTAATAAATATGAATGAGAGAGAGAGAGATGATAGAGAGAGTGACAAAATCTCTTTCAAAAACAAGAATAAGAGAGAAAAGGGGGAGAGAAAACGAGGGAGATACAGAAGAATAGAGTATCTTCTTCAAAAAATAAGAACAAGCAAGAGATATAGAGAGAAGATCTACTTTGGAAACAATAAAGGGAGATATAGATAAATGGAGGTTACAAAGAGAGAGAGAAAGAGAAAGAGAAAGATCGAGAGATAGATAGAGTATATAGAAAGAGACATGGAGAACAAATATATGGAGAATAAAGAGATGGAGAGGGGGAGACAAAGGAGAGATAGATATATAGCTCTATTATTTATGACTTATGTTGCTTCAAGTCAGAGGACCATGTTCTTATGCGGATATTAAAACAGTCAATGATGTCGTTTATCCTACTTTCTATGGTGTATGTCATGTGTTTAGTTTGGTTGGTAATGATGAAGGGCATGTTGATGCTTTCTATGAAGCGAGTGGATGGTCTACGGTTTCTTTATTGCGAAAGATGTTTGCTACTTTAATCTATACTGGTTATATGTGTAATCATGTGTGTGTTTGAAGCTATGTCCGTCATGTTATTTTTCCCTGAGTCAGCGTGTTGTCATCACTTATCTTGTACTTTTTGGTTTTTTATAAAAATTGAAACATATTGGGAATTCTTACACTATTATAATTTCAAGCTATTGGTTTTGATTATTTAGTTATTTATAATTGAAAAAATGTTCCAAAATGAAAAAATAATATGAAACGCGTACTCCATTGAGAGAAAATTGTGAAAATGACTATTGTTTTATGGTTTTTTTAAATATCAACTCTACCTTTCTAATTACTTTTACTTGTAGCCTAATGGCAAATTAATGGCAGACTGAATGCATACTACTGGCAGACTGATTAGTCTTACAATTGAATATAGACTATTGGCAGACTGATGGCAGACTAAAAGCAAATTACTACCATTAATCTGTCATTAGGCTACGAGTAAAAGTTATTAGAAAAGTAGCGCTGATATTTTAAAAAAATCATATTCGAAATTTATATCTAGGATAATTCTTGGTTTAGTTTAGACTATTGACAGACTAATGACAAGCTTAATTATATGAGAGCAAAATATATTTTTTGCCAAAAGGCCCCTAATAATATTGAGCCGGCCCCGTTCTTGATGTTTTCTAAATCGATTATTTTTAGGAACAAAAACAGTATCAACAATCATTTTTGGTTCAATGCAGTTTTAGTTCATAACACTCACATACATAATTTAATAATCGCATTTGTCCGCGCATTGCGCGGACGGTCATCTAGTTTATTATATTTCAACAAAAAAATTTCATTCGATTAACATAAAGTAGAATACTATTTCAATATATAATAATACATTTATAATATAGTATACTAATTATGTTCTTTTGTAATTGATAAAATTTATTTTCCAAATTAATTTAAGATTACAATAATTATGCAAATAAATTGTTTATGATTATTGCTAATTTGCAACGCATACTCATCTATTCAAATATTTCTATTAAATAATGATATAAAAGATCAATAACATAATAGATCAAAATAAAAAAATAATATAGTACAAAAAATTATATTATATGACTTAAAAGGACATGTTCCTCAATTTTCAATTATGCTTCTTCAACCTCTAATTGTTTTGTACTATTTTATATTGAGCATTCGTCCATTCCTACTCTGACTTATATATTTTCCATTGCTGCTCTGATTTATATAAGCCCACAAGTTTTCTCTGCAAAATTCAGAATAAACAGATTATAATAAAACAACACAACGTACATTGTCTTAATAAAAAAATATGAAAAGCGGTATAAAAAATGAACTATATGATTTAAAATAACGTGTTGTGCTTCTTCAACCTCTAATCGTTTACAGACTCATCAAAGACATTTTCTATTATATATAGACAATAACAAATAACAGTTTTCCCATCTACAAATAAATACCAAAAAACGAATAATAGTATACCACCATATTTCTTCAGCTCCATAAAACCCAGCAATTATCTAACAAAGCTAGCGAATATTGATCACGAAACCCTAAAACTCTTGAACAATTCAATCCTACACAAATTGATGTTAATCTGAATCGTGGTCAGCAATGGGGATTCTTGGAGGATGTAGTGGCAAAGTGTGGGAGCTACCGAATTACAACGACAGCTGATCCAATCAAATCCACCAGAGTCGCGGTTGCTCCGTCGTGCAAGAAATTGTCTGAGTTCTTTTTCCTCAACTCAAACGCCCAATTTTCTTGAGATTAGACATTTTCAAATTTCGATACACAAATCAAAAGTCAAGGGAAAATTTTCGGTTTTTTTTTTGTTTTTTTTGTTTCTTTGTCTGTGAGATTTAATCAATTGTCATTAAGCGTATTTTGAAGGATTAAGAGATAATAATCACTTGTTGATGTATTTTCTTTTTGATATATAAAACGTTCAAATCAAAGTTAAAATATTTTGATGATTTCAAATCTTTACCAAACCACACAATTAGGGCCCGAGACCTTTCCATTATGAATTACAGAATTAATATTTTAAAAGTCTTTTTTTCTTTTCTTTTCTTTAAGTTTTGACTTGCAAGATCAGATCTTCACATGGCTGTCTGTCAGATCTTTAAGTTTTTGGTTACTCTGTTTCTATTATTCCAATGGATGTTATTAAAATCATTAATAAAAATAAAATTTTAATGAAAAATATCGAGTATTAATAAATTGTCAAAGTATATAGCTTTTTTTTTTCCTCACGTTTAAGAATATCAAATGAAGAAAACACTCAAAAACACTTTAATGCAAAGAGTATTTGATAGTGCAAATACCCTTTATTACAAATCGAATGTAAGGCATGTTTGGGAAGAGCACGGGCCAACATAAGTCAGAAACTGTACTAACGGTTAAGCAACATTCTTTCTTGATCCCATGGAAATGTCCATGTACAAATCCTTTTAGACTTTCGAGACATCCACTTGATGTTGTCTTGAACGCATTCAAACATCTCTGAGGATCCGTCGGTTGAGCACTCGAAAGAGACCAAGCCATTACGACTACAAGAACCATGAGCAAAAAGGTAGTCTTCATTATCGTCTTAGATTCCTTTTTTTTGTTATTAATCGAATTAGAAACCAAATTTTTTTAGTTTGTAGTACTTAATACTTATGTTGATGATAATAATGATGATGATGGAGCCCTTTTATACTTGTTTTATACAATCTTTTTCAATAGAATGTCTAGATATTAATTTGCTCTATTTGGTAGTAAATTTTTTACAATTTCACATGTCAGATATCAAAATACAGTTTCCAAGTACCATGATATAAATTTCAGATAATTTTCTTTATAAATAGATAGTGTGTTCTAACATGTTTACATAATTATGTGTACATGGACATGTAATATAGACACTCCTAGATATATTAGCTAGGGGGCTTATTAAATCATGGATTTGGATTACATTTGATTGGATTTTGATTGGGTATTAAAAAAATTATATAACTTTTAGTTCTGTTTTTTAAAAGCTAAAAAATATATAATGTTTAATTGCATCCGGAATCAAATAATTGTTTACAGTTAGTTTAGAAAGATCAATCTGATACTAAATGCATACTATTCACAATAATAAGCATTATTCTGTTTCAATTCTTCTAATGGGTGATTAAAATCATTAACAAAAATAAAACTTTCAATGAAAAATATTGAGTATTAATAAATTGTCAAAGTACATCATTTTTTTATCCTCACGTTTAAGAATATCAAATAAAGAATATATTCAAAAACACTTTTATGCAAAGAGTATTTGATGGTGCAAATACCCTTTTTTACAAAACGAATGTAAGGCATGCTTGGAAAGATCACTGGCCAACATAAGTCAGAAACCGTACTAACGGTTACACAACATTCTTTCTTTATCCAATGGAAATGTCCATGTACAACTCCCTTTAGATTTTCGATACATCTTGATGAGGCCATCAAATCTAGCTTAACCGGAGCTGATCAAGAAGCTGTTTTACCGGTCATAAGGCAAGCACCAAAGACCCGCTCAGGAACAAGAAGCCTAAGAGAAGAGTTGAATAACTCTATAGAGAGCTTAATCACTCTTATTGATCAAGGAGAGCATAAAGAGAATGCACTTGCCAAAGAGATGAGCAGAGGAACACCAATTAATCCTCAAGAACGTTCAAACACTATGGAGCTTCAAGTCTTGGGAAATAATCATCAAAACAACACGCTAGAAGCAACAGTCTATAACAAATCAAGCGACGATGTTTACTTGCATTACAAGTCCAACTCAACCCTCTTTTTGCTCATAGAAAGCAGGCATCTTGTTGCTCATATAAATCTTACTGAATTTATCAAGGAGACATGCTTTAATTTCTACCATTGAGGCTAAGGTAAAGGGTTTTCGAGCATTTTAAAGATTTAATGAAACTGATAAAGACTTTCAGGACATTTTCAAAGAAACACTCCAAGTTGCTTATAGAACATTTTACCAACAAGATGGGTTTCTGTTTAAAGAAAAAAATTACACATTCCTCAAGGATCAATGAGATAATTCCTAATCAGAGAAACACATGGGAGAGGCCTCATGTGACATTTTGGAAGAGACAAGACGTTAAGTGTCCTTCAAGAACATTTATACTCGCCACATCAAAAGAGGGACGTAGAGTGGTTTTGTGCTAAGTGCATTACATATTTAAAGGCCAAATCAAAGTTACTTCCTTATGGTTTATATGTCTTTGCATATACTTAACCACTTTTGGATAGATATCTCTATGGATTTTGTTCTAGTTTTACCCAAGATCAACAACAAAGACTCTATCTTTTGATAGATTCTCTAAGATGGCCCATTTTATTCTATGCAACAAAATCAATGATGCTACGCAGACGGCTAATCTATTCTTCAAAGAAGTTGTAAGACTAAATGGAGTCCCTAGGACCATTGTATCTGACCGTAATACTATATTCTTAAGTCATTTCTGGAAGACCTAATGGAAAATTTTTGGAACTAAGTTACTATTCTCAACATCATGTCACCCACAAACCGATGGTCAAACTGAGATAGTAAGCCGAACCCTCTCTACACTGCTAAGAGCCACAGTGGGTAAGAATCTTAAGAATTGGTTAAATTGCATTACATACATTGAGTTTTATTATAACCATGCTAAGCATTCAGCAACAAAACTTTCAGCATTTAAAGTTATATATGGGTTCAATCCTGAAACATCATTAGATCTCTCACCCCTAACCCCCAAGCTGTTTAGTCTAGTGTAGGAGAAACAAAAGCTGAGGTTGTAAAGAAACTTCACCAAGGAGTCAAGAACAACTTGGAGAAAAAGAAAGAGAAGTACAAGCAACAAGCTGACAAAAACCGCAAGGAGATTACCTTTGAACCTGGCGGTTGGGTCTGGTTACATGTGAGACAAGAAAGATTTCCAAATCAAAGAAAGTCTAAACTATCACCAAGAGGAAATAGCCCATTCAGAGTACTTGAGAAGATCAACAATAACGCATACAAACTGGAATTACAAGGTGAGCTAAACATTTCTCATATATTTAATGTTACTAACTTAGCCCCTTTCAATGCATATGTACTAGTTCTGAGGACAAAACCTTCTCAAGAGGGAGGGAATGATGAGGCATCAGATCTAGCTTAACCATAGCTGATCAAGAAACTGTTGTACCGGAGGCAAGCACCAAGGACCCGCTCAGGAACAAGAAGCCTAAGAGAAGAGTTTAACAACTCTATAGACAACTTAATCACTTTTATTGACCAACGAGAGCATAAGAGAATGCACTTGCTAAATAGATGAGCAGAGGAACACAAATCAATCCTCAAGAACGTTCAAACACTTTAGAGCTTCAAGACTTGAGAAATAATCATCAAAACAACACGCAAGAAGCCACGGTCTATAACATATCAAGCGACGATGTTTACTTGCATCACAAGTCTAAGTCAACCCTATTTCTGCCGGTTTTACAAGGCATTGAAGGCATGACAATATTTGTCATTACTAAGGAGTATAATGGAGGGCAAGAGATTCTAATCCTTTAGAATGCTCTACAAAACTCAGCGTATGAAGATTCCAAGCTATCATTCCTTCAATCAGTTTGAAAAGTAAATCAAGAAGACTTTCCCAAAATAGTAGAAGATGCAAATCAAACCAAGACCAACAGATACTGCTTTTATTTTTGATTCAATTTATTTACATTACATCAATTTTGCTTCTTGTTTTTCATTTTACCGTTGTAACGAGCCTATAAAGCTCAATACCTTTCTCTTTTTAATAGATGATATTATTCTACAAAAACTTGTCTTGTGCTTTATGTAAAGAAAAATCATTGATCTCTATTCACTTGTGTGTGAAGCCTTGTGATTAGAGAGTCTGACTTATCTTGGTTCTTCCATAACCCGAGTGGCATCTATCGATTCCCCTTTAATTCAAACCGTTCTTTCATTTTTACCGAGCCTTCAAAGAGAGCTTTATGGACAGTTGAAGATTCACCATCATTCCACCTGGTACGAGCGAATTTCCCTTCATTCCTACATCACCTCTGCTTGATGTTATCTTGAACGCATTCAAACATCTCTGAGGATCCATCGGTTGAGAACTCGAATGAGACCAAGTCATTGCAACTACAAGAACCATGAGCAAAAAGGTAGTCTTCAATCTTCATTATCATCTTAGATTCCTTTTTCTGCTATTAATCGATTTAGAAACCAAAGGATTTTAGTTTGTAGTACTTAATACTTATGTTGATGATCATGGAGCCTTTTTATACTTGTTTTATACAATCTTTTTCAATAGAATGTCTAGATATTAATATACTCTATTTGGTAGTTAGTTTTTTTACAATTTCACATTTGCAGTTACAAATACGATGATATAAATTCCAGAAATTTCCTTTATAAATAGACAGTGTGTTCTAACATGTTTACATAATTATATATATGTGGACATGTAATATAAACGCTCCTAGATACATTAGCTACGGACCTTATTAAAATTTGGATTATTTTAGATTTAATTGGATTTTAATAAGGTATTAAAAATTATATAACTTTTAGTTCTATTTTTTTAAGAGCTGATAAAAATATAATGTTTAAATGCAACCAAAATCAAATAATTGTTTACATTTAACTTCGAAAGATCGATATGATACTAAATGCATACCATTCACAATAATAAGCATTACTCTGTTTCAATTATTCCAATAAGTGTTATTAAAATCATTAACAAGAATAATTTTTTTAATGAAAAATATTGAGTATTAATAAATTGTCAAAGTACGTAGTTTTCTTTTATCCTCACATTTAAAAATATCAAATGAATAAAATACTCAAAAATACTTTAATGCAAAGAGTATTTGATAGTGCAAATACCCTTTATTACAAAACGAATGTAAGGCATGCTTGGGAAGAGCAGTGGCCAACATAAGTCAGAAACCGTACTAACGGTTGCGCAACATTCTTTCTTGATCCCATGGAAATGTCCATGTACAACTCCTTTTAGACTTTCGAGACATCCACTTGATGTTGTCTTGAACGCATTCAAACATGCCTGAGGATCTGTCGGTTGAGCACTCGAACGAGACCAAGTCATTGCGGCTACAAGAACCATGAGAAAAAATGTAGTCTTCATTATTGTCTTAGAATCTGTCCTTTTCTGTTATTAATCGAGTTAGAAATCAAAAGAGTTTAGTTTGTAGTACTTAATACTTATGTTGATGATGATGGAGTCCTTTTATACTTGTTTTATACAATCTTTTTCAATAGAATGTCTAGATAATAATTTACTCAATTTGGTAGTTAATTTTTTTACAATTTCACATGTCAGATATCAAAATGTACAGTTCCAAGTACCATGATATAAATTCCAGATCATTTCCTTTATAAATAGATAGTGTGTTTTAACATGTTTACCTAATTATGTGTATATGAACATGTATTATAGACACTACTAGATAAATTAGCTAAGGGAGCTTATTAAATCATGGATTTGGATTACTTTAGATTTGATTGGATTCTGACAGGAATTACAAAATTTATACGACTTTTTAGTTCTATTTTTTTCAAAAATTATTAAAAATATAATATTTTAGACTGCAGAAAAAAACAAAATGAAAATTTAAAAACCTAGAAAAGTTTAAACGAATTTGGCTCAAGAGATTATTGATCAAACCAATTTTATTCGAAGATTTTTTGGATAACATTTAAGTTCAAGCTCATCAGATTTACGCAACTACAAGCATACATCTTGAATTGCAACCGGAATCAACTAATCATTTATAAATATCATATTATTAATTAGAAAGCAAGTTGATATGTGGTTAAAAATTATAATGGTTGATTACTATTCACCTGTTATATAAAAAAACTTGATTTACCCTTAATAAAACTAACAAATTAATATAATCTAATGTTTAATAATTTTTGTTTTTTTAAATCTAGATTTCCAAATTCAAGTTTATATCATAAAAATATTCAGTTTACTAAAAAGGTATCTAGCGTAAATCACAAAATTGGTCCTAATTAATCTTTAAACTAATTTTAATTTGATTGTTTAACCTACTAATATTTTTAACTAACCTAATTGATTTATGCGGCTACAAGTAAAACTTTAAATCCCTTAAATATTTTTAAAACTCTATATATATTAATTAATGTTAAGTTGATATGAAACAAGAATCTTTTGGTTTTGGTCATTTTGGATTGCTATGTTTTTTTGGTCATTTTGGATTGCTATGTTTTTTTTTAATGCAAACTTTGAATTTTATTAATTTTAATCTGCCAATTTACACCAAAATATGAGAATTATTTATTATATTTGATAAATACAACAAAAAACAAAGCATACATATAAGTTTTTATCGAATAATATAAAAATATTAGAAAATAAGATATAAATAATATATTTTGTTTTGTCACAAAAAATCAATATACTCATAATAATTGTATTTTTTTCAAATATATTAATTTTGATTTCGAATAATTATAAAATCTAATTTTTTATGCATAAATAAAGTAATATTATTATTTTTAAAAATTTTTAATTAAATCTTACACAGTGCGAGGAAGCACCTACTTAGTGTTTTAAGATCAATGCGATCTTATAGGTCCCGATTGGTAATGTGATTGTAAGGACATGGGCTGGTGGCCTACATGGTGAAGAATGAAGATGAACTTGCAGCCAAACACTCCTTAATTTCCCGAGTAATGGACTTGTGTAGCCAAACACTGCTTAAATTCCCAACTTGTGTTATCCGGCGATTTCAAATTCAAACCCTCATCATCTTCCTCGACAATCCCGCGCTCATTTGAATCTGTGCTCCTGCGAAATTCAGAATCCTCTCCATCGCTCTCTTCCATGTGGGATCACATTCTGATCTCCGACGGGGAAGATCCGGCTACGCCGCTCCCATCTCTCTCGAAACGGGCTCGAAAAGACCCCGTCTCTGCGATACTGATATCGGATTCCGATCCGACGCCGCAGAAACAGCCGCCGGAATCTTCTTCCACCCCTTTGTTCGTCCCTGATACACCTCTCTCTGACGATTTCTCTGTCGTCAAGTGTTCATTTGGTTCCGGAGCCTTAGCTTCAAACCGCGAAGACAAATTCGCCGGTAAGTTAACTCTAAATACTCAGTAGGTCTAATGTAATGATTTCGCTAGGAGCGAATTGATAATAGGAATCTTCTTCTACTTGTGAAACTTTGTGATTTCTATGTTTCTTCTGGGGATTTCACTAGGCAAACGAGTAATATCACTGGATTCGGAGTTTGAAGACAGTCCTCGACCTGAAACTTCGAAGAAGTACGAACCTGTTCTTGCTGGTTTTAGGGAGCCGCGTGGTGAATACAGTGATGCAGATTGTACTGAGGCGAACTATGAGAATGCTAGAATACACGAGAGAAGCATCGGTATGCTTAAAGCCTTCAAAAACTCAAATGTATCTATCAAAGTATGCGTGATGAACAATGTCTATGTTTCTATTTTGGAATTTCACTAGGCACACGGGTGATTTCTCTGGATTCGGAGTTTGAAGATAGTCCTCGACCTGAAACTTCGAGGAAGTATGAGCCCGTGTTTGCTGATATCAGGGAACCGCATCATGGATTGGATTCCAGATCAAATGATGCAGATTCTATTGAGACGAATAGTAGAATAATCGAGCCAAACATTGGTGGTATGCTTACCCCAAAACCAAACTCTTATGGGTGATGAACTTCGTTTGTCTTGTCCACTTATAAATGGGGGTTGCTGTTTTCTTTCAGATGATAACACTAGTTGGATGCATGAAGTCAGTGTTCGCTCTTCGCTGACCAATGATACTATCGAGGTACTTATCTGCAAGGAACTTGTACCATATTTCGTCATTGGTACATGATTTAGGAACATTTGACTCTGTTTGTTACTCTTATTTCTGAAGGTACTAGCTGTTTATACACACTGAAATTGCTTGCTTCTGGTGTTATTTTGATTTCCTCAAAAAAAAAAAAAAAAATCAGGTAGATTCGGACCAAGAAAAAGAAAACATAAGCTTTGAGAAAATGGGTCGAAAAAAGCAAATTAAAAGTCGTAAAACTACAACTCTTTCGGGTGTAGAATTGCCTAAGAAGCAGCTGTCGAAAGAAGAGAAAATCCATGCGATGGAGGAAAAGAAGTTGAGAAAAGAAGTAAGTGTCGTTCTTTACGTGGCTTTTCTATTTTTGTGTTTCCTGATCAATAGTTAACTTTGCCTTTCTTCTATCATATAGCAAGAGAAATTACAGAAAGCAGCTCTGAAAGCAGAAGAAGCCGAGCGTAAAAAGTTGGAGAAGGAAAAGCAGAAATGGGAAAAGGGAAAGTTAGCCCTTAAATCTATTGTTGCCGAGATTGATACTAAAGTGGTTGAAGGTTCCATTGGAGGTAAGGGAGTTCTCTACTTATCTAGATGTTTTTTTTTCTTCAACATATGCTTTTAGATGTTCCTTTCTTTGTCTCTCTTCTTCTTGTTTCATATGAATGGCTAGTTTGTCACTAAGTATAGACACTGAGTGCCTCTGGTATAACGTTAGCATAGGTCTTCTCCTTTCAAGGTTCTCTGAGAAAGGCATTACATTCCGTGTAGCCTCCAATCCAATTGAGAGATCCATTGTGTGGACAATGACAATTCCAGAGGATATTGCTCCGGTACGAGAAAATCTCAGTCGCTTTGTATTTTCGAATTTTTTTAAATGTTAATTAACTTGCTTCATCCTGAGTCTCGCAACTGACGCGTTTGAAAAGTAGTTCTTAGAACTCAGAACTTGCCAGTCTGGTCCGTATCCTTGTATAATGTGGGCATGGACCGAGTTGCATAATAACTGGCACTAAATTGAGTAACATTTGTGAAATATCAGTAGAACCAAAGAAATGGATCCCTTAAACTATGGGTTGAAGGGGTTTAGAAGATCAGTATTTGACTACAAACGATATGAATCAATCTGTACTACAAACGATAGAAGATCAGTATTTGACTACAAACGATAGAAGATCAGTATTTGACTACAAACGATATGTATTATTTTATTGTTAATATGCATCTTCTTGTCTTCTTTACTCTGCTGCAGGCTTTTCTACAAGGACCCACGATTCGTTATGTATTACTAGTGTACGAGGCTGAAGAATTTTGTAACCTTGTCGCCGATGGAAAATTTTTAGAGAACATCTCAAGAGTTCAGGACCGATACCCATCTTATACGGTGTGCTGCCTCACCAATAAGTTAATGTCCTACGTAAACAAAAGGTGTGTGTGGGATAAGGTAAATTGGTGTTACATTAATGTTTCCATCATGAAGCTAAACAAAACTAACCTTATAGGGAGAAGGAAAATTATAAGAACCCGGGAAAGTGGAGACGGCCTCCTATTGATGAGGTATGATAGTATCTAATAATGAGCATGTGTTTAGAGTATAGCTTCTTTATTGCTCCTTTACTTGCTTCCTTAAACAAAAGTGTTTTATGGTATTTGATGTGTGTTACAGGTACTTGCGAAATTAAGTACTCACTATGTTAAAGTACATTCCAGGCACTGTGTAGACGAGGCTGAGGTCGCTGAACATGTTGTTGGTTTAACAAGCAGTCTGGCTTCTTGTCAATTCAGGTACTGACTTTGCTGGACAATAGTTTCAGTTTCTTCCCCCGAATCATTGAGTTGAGTTGTAGAATTCCACTAGACCAATCATCTCTTGCTGTAAACCCATTGAACCAGATATATATCTCCATGCAGTAAAACGACTTAATGCTATAAAGATCTCGCATCAAAAGCTTATCAATTATTTGTGGCCAAGAACGTAATTAATCTGAAAGATTTTGAAACAAACTAATTATGGCTCTACTGTTTGATATGCACAGGAAGAAATTAACTATGTTATCAGTAAACGCTAATGGTGCAGTAGTCTCCAAGGATTCAGTTGACAAACACATGATTAAAAAGAGTCCATGGTAAAGTAAAGTAAAACCATTATAACTTTGTTTTTGTTTTAGTCTCTCTGAATCTGTTTAATAAGTTACATCTTCTCTGTAGGTTGAAAGCGTTAGTAGCAATACCAAAGGTGCAGCCAAGATACGCTGTAGCAGTGTGGAAGAAATATCCATCCATGAAGTCTCTTCTTAAGGTTTACATGGACCCTAAAAAATCGGTTAGTGAAATCTGAGGGAAAAACTAAAGATTTTGACTTGCCCAGTTTGTTTTCTAATGGTTTCTAGTTTTGGTTATTACATTTGGGGAACAGGTTCATGAGAAGGAGTTTCTACTGAAAGATTTGAGAGTGGACGGTTTAGTAGGAGGAGACATAAGGTTAGGTGAGGTCTGTTCAAAGCGGATATACAGAGTTCTCATGTCTCCAAGTGGAGCCATTAAGACTGATGATGTGGAAAACGGTGCTGCTTTTTTCAAGCTTTCTTCACATTTGGATGCCAAATAAGGCCGAAAGGAGTCGCGATTCTAAATATAGATACATGTTTGATCTCTTTTTTCTTTTTCTAATTAACTCAAACATACCGCATTTAAAGATTAAAACCGAGTTCACAAGTCATGTTAATGTTACTCGAGCTCAATACATGGCATAAGCCAAGTAGGAGTAGTACGATCTAACAGCATAACAGAGATCGAAAGAAGAAGCAAACTTTGCAAGTTGATCCGCACATTTCACTAGCTTCTTTGGGGATTATCATTTGATTTTTGTTATTTTAACTTTTCTTTGCAAGTAGATGCTTTATACGGAGTCGTTAAGAACAGCCTAAGTTTTTCAGGCAACAGACGAGGAACAGCTTCGAGACATCTATCTTATGCACTTAGAGCGTCATCTCTTAAACATGTTCAAAGACGGTAAGGTCTTGGTTTAGTTCTGCCTTCCCCTCTATGAACCAAAGTACTGCAATTTCTTTTTTTTCCAGGATACGTCACCTCATTTTCTTCTCATCTTGTTTACAGCAGAAGCGATTGTGGTTGGTGGTGAAAAAAAAGGGTTATGAAGAAATGCAAAACGAAGAGAGCGGTGAAGAATTTGAAAAAGAAGAGAGCGGTGAAGAAATCGAAAAAGAAGAGAGCAGTGAAGAAGACAGCAATGAAGAAGAAACTGAAGAAGACAGTGATTCTTCTTTGCTCCTTCTCCATCACTGAAACTACGTACTGCATCTTGAGGTTATGCCTCAGAAAATCCATTTATTTATTTTCTCTCTTATAAGTGCTTATGATCCATTTGGTGATCTCTTCAACCTTCCCAAGTCTTGGTGAGGTTCTTTTGTTAAACTAGATCGTGTATTGGAAGTGTTAATGACTGCCCAAATTCTCTGAAACTAAATCGTTATGTTATGCCTTTGAACCCTCTCGTTTTCTCTTGTCGCCATTGACACTTTCATTTGTAATTTTTTTCTACTCGCTGGTTCTTTGGATCTTTGTTTGTGTTTCTGTAAAACTTATTCTGACTGCCAAGTCTGACGTCTCTCCAAATCTATCTTCAATTTAGCAGTAAGTCTTCAGATTGTTAGAGTCTTCATTATATATATTTTTTTACCCTCTCTATCTCGTCTTGTTTGCTTCTCTTCCACGAAACAGACAAATAAAAATGTGCCGATTCATTTTGGACCCAAAATTCTCTGTTTGCTCAAGCGGTTATGTTTTGTATAGGAAAAATATTAAGTAAAACTGTAAAAGTAGAAACGTTCTTAACTCATTTAAGTGTAGACTTTAAAGGTAACATCCATTAGGGAGGTGGTATTATTATCTCATTGGTTCCTTAAATGATATGTAGCAAATAGTTTTAAACAATATATATCAATATACATTCAAAATGAGTCATTTGGTAAAAAAAAAATATCATTTTGAATAATTGTTACCTTTGGTGATACTTTTAAGTTTTTTACTCTAGATTCCATGCAACTGAGAGAATTATCATCCTCATAACTGGAAAAAAGTTTTTTTTTTTTTGCACGAGATGTGTAAAGTCTTCAATTTCCTATGTTAAGATCTATTGCCCTTGAAGCGTCGACTTTCCTCAAGATAGACCCGAAACAAACCAAGAAAGAAGGGGGAGTTTGCAGACGAAAACAGAGGAAGAAAACAGAGTAAGGAGAAGAAAGAAAGAAAACAGAGATGAAAAAAAAAGGGAGCACACAGAAGATTTTACGAGTTCACGCCCTAACCGGTGCGCTATGTCTCGCCGAGCCTTGCTCGGAATCCACTAAGCCAATACACAGAGAGTTTACAATCCTTGAGACGAACAAGTAAAACACTCTACCGCACTTCACTAGCGTCTATAGAGTTCACTCTGTTCTTATCTCTTTGTAACCGAGACAATACAATAAGCTTAAGCAAATAAGTATTTCTTTCACTCTCTAACAACTCTAAATCTTTCTCACAGTCTCTCTCGAAGCTCCTAGGTCCCCTTTTATAGTGATAACAAAATAGGGTTTCCTGCAAGTCACAAACGCATCCCCAAACGCCTTGAAACGCCAATGAGCTGGAGCGATAAGCGATTCTGTAACTTCCAAATGTGCTTTCTCCTTTTGACCACAAGCGGACAGAAGATCCTTATGAGCGTGAATGCAAAACCTCCCTGCTTTGTCTTGACATAGCAATAGCCGTTTTGCCAGCTTCAGGTGGTCCCTCATCTAACTTAATCATGGTCCAATGATGACCATAGAGACAGGTTACGATGTGGTCCCAACTAAGCATTCACGATTCAAACTTTTCTTGTTCTTCAAGTCATCAAGACTTTACAAATCTCCACCTGATAAATTGAAGAACAAACCCGTGAAGGAAAAACTGCACGATTCGAGTTAGCGACAGAGAGAGTACCTTAGCTTAGTATCCTGGATTCCAGGCTCGGATTCTCTGAGTATTATTACTCAGACCTGACATGTAGCAAGTTCAACGCAGCTTGAAACTTGCCTACAGCCAGTACCTTGGTGAATATATCAGCTGGATTCTTCTCAGTTGCTATCTTTAAAGCTTCCACATCTCCGTCTGCTATAATGTCTCGGATGTAGTGACACTTGACGTCGATGTGCTTTGTCCTCTCGTGGTGCACATTGTTCTTGGATAGAGCAATTGCACTTTGAGAATCACAGAAGATCTCCACCTTCTTCTGATTGTAACCGAATTCTTCCAGCAATCCTTTAAGCCATACTGATTCTTTAACAGCTTCAGTGAGTAACATATACTCGGATTCTGTGGTGGATAGAGCAACTACTCGTTGCAGACCTGACTTCCAGCTTATGGTGTTTCCTCCAAAAGTGAACACTAGCCCTGTTGTAGATCGTCTCCTATTTGGATCAGCAGCAAAATCAGCATCACAGTATCCCACCACCTTAAACTCTGAACTTTGTGTGTAGCACAGTCGAGTCTTGAGTGTTCCCTTTATGTAGCGTAGAACCCACTTGACTCCAAGCCAGTGTTCTCGAATCGGATGACCCATGAACCTGCTAATTACCCCAACAGAGTACGCCAAATCTGGTCGAGTCCCCACCATGGCATACATTATGCTTCCCACAGCGTTTGCGTAAGGAACAGTCTTCATGTAATCCTCTTGTTCTGAGAGTTGTGACTCTGTAGCAGCACGTAACTTCAGATGAGCACCCAGAGGAGTTGATGTAGACTTGGCTTCACTCATGTTGTATGTGTCCACGATCTTGTTCAGATAACCTTCCTGAGACAGCCATAAGGCACCTGCAGTTCTATCTCTGTTGATTTCCATTCCAAGGATCTTTCTTGCAGCACCTAGATCCTTCATTTCGAACTTGTTGTTCAGCTCCTTCTTTAACTGATTTATGGCTTCTTTGTCGTGAGCAGCCACAAGCATATCATCGACATAGATTAACAAATACATCAATGACCCATCTTGAAGCTTCTTGACATAGGCGCAATTGTCGTATTTACTTCTCACAAAGTCAATTTCCAACATGTAGTTGTCAAACTTTTCATTCCACTGCCGTGGAGCCTGCTTCAGACCATAGAGCGATTTGTTAAGTAGACATACCTCGTCACTCTTGAACATGGATTCGAACCCTTCTGGTGGAGACATGTAAATCTTCTCCGTTAGTTCCCCATGTAGAAAAGCCGTTTTCACATCAAGTTGTTCGAGCTCCAAGTCTTCTTGAGCTACTATTGAAAGTAGTATCCTTATAGACACATGTTTCACCACTGGAGCGAAAATCTCGTGATAGTCTATCCCTTCCCTTTGAGCATACCCTTTGGCAACAAGTCTAGCTTTGAATCGAGGTTCTTCAACACCAGGAGTGTCCTGTTTGTATTTGTAGATCCATCTGCTACCAATGATCCTCTGATTTGAGGGTCGCCTGACAACAGTCCATGTATCATTCTTCAGTTGAGATTCCATCTCTTCTTTCATAGCGATGCTCCACTTGTCCCAATTCGCATCAATCTTTGCTTCATTATAGTCTGCAGGTTCAACAGCATCTCCGTCTTCAGTTGTATATAGAGCTTTACACACGTAATCTTCATCATCAAACCGTCGCGGTGCCCTGATTTCTCTTCTTGCTCTGTCTCGTACGAGGATATAACTCAAGGGAGACTGAATTACTTCAGGCTCGTCGTTGTCTTCATCTGCTTCTCTTGTTGGAGTTGAGTACCTTGAGTTTGCTGGCGTAGAGAAACTAGATCTTGAGCTAGATGGAGTATCGAGTAAGTCTTCTCTAGCTCCACCAGAGGTGATGTCTATATCTACATCAAGGTCAAGATCTCTGTATGACCCATCACGGTCAGCTTCTTGCGCAGTAATGTTGTCGCTTCTTTGCAGTAAGTCTTTGTATACTGCATTCTCCTGAAAGATTACATTCCTACTTACTGCGCACCTTCTCTGTTCCACTAGCCAGACCTTGTATCCTTTTACTCCATCAGGATATCCAATAAACACACCTTTCTTGGCTCTCGGACTCAGCTTCCCGTCATCAGTGTGTACAAACACAACACACCCGAACCTCCTTAGATAGCTGTAAACCGGTGGCTTTCTATACCAGAGCTTGTCCGGCGTGTTGAAGTCGATAGCAGATGAGGGAGTTTTGTTGATGAGAACCGCTGCAGTGTGAGTAGCTTCTGCCCAGAATCTCTTTGGCAAACCCGAATCACTCAGCATAGTTCTCACTTTCTCCATTATCGTGCGATTCATCCTTTCTGCAACGCCATTTTGTTGTGGCGTGTATGCACATGTTCGATGCCTCTGAATACCCTTTGATTTGCAGAAGCCATCAAACAAGCGATTACAAAACTCTAAGCCGTTATCAGTTCTCAGAGTCTTAATCTTCTTGTCGATTTGATTTTCAACCAGATTCACCCATTCCGTGAACTTCTCAAAGGCCTCGTCCTTGGTTCTCAGAAAGTAAACCCATACTTTCCTAGTGTAATCGTCAATGAATGATATGAAATATTGACAGTTACCTAGAGAAAGCGGCACTGAAGGAGCTCCCCATAGATCAGAGTGTATGTACTCAAACTTGTCCTTAGTATCGTGTTGAGCCAAGTTGAAGCCAACTTTTCTAGCCTTTCCCAAGATACAGTCTTCACAGGTCTCGAAGGTTGATATCTTCTTCTTGTCCAAGAGACCCCGTTTAAGCATTAAGTTCATATTCTTCTGACTCATATGTCCCAACCTTCTATGCCAGAGCATCGAGTCATCTTGTCTTCTTTCCGTTGCATTTGATTCCTCAACCGGAGACCTCCACTGAAATAGATACAGCGTGTCATATCTTCTTCCCGTTAAGAATACTTGACTTCCTGCTTTGACGCTTAGCAGTCCATTTTCTGATTCAAACTTATATCCAGCTTTCTCTAGTGTTTCAAGTGACAGCAGATTTCTGTCCATATCAGGAACGAATCTTACCTCGGTGAGTAAGACCTGCAGCCCTTCTTCGTTTCTGATTCGAATCGAGCCAACTCCTCTGACTTTGGCTACAGACTTGTTTCCCATTCGAACCGATCCTCCTGCGTCTTCATCTAGGGTCTCAAACCACTCCCTTTTGTAACTCATGTGGTAGCTACAGCCTGTGTCCATTATCCACTCATCTTCAAGATGTATATCAGTTGAAGACAGGGCTTCTGACACGTATAAGCCAGTTGATTCAACCAGATTCCCTTTTCCAGATGATTCGCCTTTTCCGTTACCTTGCTCCTTGGATTTGTAGGGACCTTTATTCTTGTTCGGACAGTTGTTCTTGTAGTGACCTTCCTCACCACATATTCAGCATCCTTTTGTCTTAGACTTAGACTTGGATCGGGATTTCTTGCCTCCTTTGTCTCTTTGCTCACTTCTTCCTCTGGATTCAGATTTTTCTTTCGCATAGAGACCTTCCGCTTGACCTTTAATGCTCTTCTTTACTGAGCCAAACTCTAATTCCTTTGAG